ATAAATCAAATTCATGTTTAAATGCAGTTTATGACATAATTTTTAAATTGTCACTATTAATATTTTTACTGAATAACCTGTAAAAGTTAATTCTACAATTTCTGAAAAATCACCTAAAAGTAACCTTTTCATTAGTGTAACCAATGCAGTTCAAAAGTAACCTAAAAGGTTACAAAAGTAACCTTCTGGCAACACTGATTATTTGCTCCATGCGTATGACAGTTTAACGCAAGTTTGTAACAAACAAAAAACAAACTTGATACTTCATCTTTAAAACATAGCGCAAAATGCAAACTTGCTTCAAAATTAAAAAAGCCTTGAAACATCATACCTAAATCAAAAAGCTTACAGCAATATTGCCACAAACTTGATTTGTCATATTTGACGTGACAATCTAATTTCAAATAAAAATCATGTTTGCAGCAAGTTCGCTTGCTATCTGGGAGGTGAGATACAGGCCAAGAGCTTCCTAGTTGTGGATAAAAAAAAAAATCGAAACCCGCTGTCAGAAGCTAGTTTACTTAAAAAATTGTCAATGACATCGGACCCAAAGCTCATAAAAAGTCCCACACACATTCCTTCCAAACCCCAGTCACGTAGAGCCGTGGTTTACTGCCTTCGGTGCATTCGATCGGATCTTACATTCCGACGGCCTTTCGTATTCTGGAGGGTACTTGAAGACGCGTGTTTGGTGATTTATTGCGTGGAACGGTTGCCAAGGTTACGGGGTGCGTCATTGGGAAAGATGGAGTTGTGGAGAAAAGATGCACTTTTGAATTGGTGGGAACCACCATACACTAGTCTAAGAACGAGCCTTTATCCACAAGGATCAACGTTGCCACCTAATTTAAAGAAAAGTTGGTGCCACAGACTTAAAGAAAAAGAATAAATTACAGAAGAAAGACAGTTATACGGGACTATTCTCACCTCTCGTTCCCACTGCTGCAACTCCTGTGTAGCCAGGATCTACAGCTTGACCGCCAATAAAAACCCAACCAGTGAAGGTCAAGTTTGTGCCGAAGGAAAGTTAGAATAAGTAAGTAGGTACCAATGCAATATAGTAAACAACTGATGATTACCAAAAATTCATTATGCACTGTTTAAATAGTAAGTTTAAATATGTGTGACTTATGTATGACACATAACATACTAATAATATTAATGTATGTTAGACTTTTTTTTTAAATAGAGTAAAGAAGTTGGCTGTCAACTATCCAGTTTCACCATCTCACTTCGTCTTTTAATCAGATGTACTATTCAAAACCTTTCTATTACAATGTCACGACAATGAAATCGGTTTCACTTGCATTTTACTTTATCGTATAAGTAATCCAGCGCGTGCACAGAGTTCGTTCATTCACGTGCTGTGAATCTGAGCGTCACCAAATATCGATTAGCATTCGATTTTGTATCGATATATTTCGAATAAGTCATGTATTTTAATAGAAGCGATTGTTATGGTAAAAACTGTCAAATTTAAAAACTTTTGGCGCTAATTTACTCAACTTTCGTTTGTTTTATGCAAAATGTGACTTGTGAACTTGCCTATTGCCTCGGCCACTTGCGACTACAGTGTGACAACTCGAATTACTACAGTTCATCAAATTATAGTACACACTGTCATCGTAAGTGGAATACTACGAGTATACTATGGCAAGGATCTCAATTTCGTCGATCCCTGAATTATTATACAAGAAATTGTGGGCATATCTCACATATTTTATAATAAAAAAAATAGTTACAGAGATGCAAAAATGACAGGCTTTCGAATTTATTTTGTACAAAATTTATTAAACAAAGTTGAGCTCAAATCTGTCTAATATTTATGCAATATCCATATTAAAGCAGTTAAACTACTTTTGGCATTGACGATCGGTGATTTAAATTATTTTAACGGTCTACGCGGTCCCGATAATATGCCGTTCTCTATGTCTAGTATTTTAACCTTTATTAGTTTAATTTATTAGCAGATAAACTAAAAACAATAAAAATATAACACTGTATCTTTATTACCCATTATTCACCAAGTTACAGAATTTCAAATCAAAACCCCGTTCTCGATACAAAAAATATCGTATTCTAGCATCGATATATTTATTATCACACCGTATCTCACTCGGCTTGTCAAGAATTTCAGATCGTCTTCATAGCTTTCTATTTAATAATAACAATACATTACAAATACTTGCCAATTAGCTGTCTGTTGACCTAATTATTGGCAGATTTTTTTAAACACTTCAAAATTGGACGAGCAATTAGAAATATTAAATAATGACATTCGTCAGGCAATGAAAAACCAGTCAGGTGCGAGTAGGACTCGCGCACGAGCGGTTCAGTACGACAATTTTGTTGTTGTATGGGAGACCCCCCCTTTAATATTTATTTTATTTTAATTTAATTATTTATTTTAGAAGTGAATATACAACTAAATATTCTGTGAAGATTTCAAGCATCTACCTATTACCGTTATTAATATCGAGCAAAAAACGGCAAAAAAAATACATACAAATGGGAGCCCCCCTTAAATATTTACTTTATTTTATTTTATAGTATTTTTTTGTTATAGCGGCAATTTAAAATACATCATCTGTGAAAATTTCAACTGTCTAGCTATCATGATTCATGAGATACAGTCTGGTAAGCAATATCGAGCAAAAACGGCAAAAAAAACGTTTTTTTGTATGGTCCCATTTGGTTTATTCTTTTTTTGGTCCCGTTTTCACCCTTTGGGTACGGAACCTTAAAAACGCAAACTAAAAATAGGAAATATTGTCCACATTGATTATATTTGTTCTGTCGGACATGTCCATTAAAATAATCAATTTAATTATAAATTATAATTCATTATTGGGACTGTCTCTGAGCGTAATGTAAATTGCTTATCTAAGGTAATCAAAATCAAGTTTAATGCAATTAAAAAAAATCTTTATTAAGTTACAGCTACTCGTATAGGTGACTTTAGTATATTTTCTTTTATCATTGAGTAGGTACTTCTGTCAGTTTGTTCATTAATTACACAATTTTTCTATATTTTATGTTATTTCATGACAAAATATTTGGTTCTATCATTTAAAAAGGAGCTAATTAACAACCGTTATTTGTGTAAGTAATTTATTGAAGAACTTACTTTCAAAGTAAATTAGGTATTTGACCCATTCATAACTACGAAAAAATAGCTAGTAGAGCTGATGGCCATTGGGGGCAGAAGATGTTGTGTGGTCTCCCACTAGATGGACAGACGATCTGGATAAGGTCGCGGGAAAATCTCCACTGCTGAACAAAGTCCTTCCACCATGGATTTCCATAACCACTGGTCCTACCCGCATCCAGGCGCTTCCCGCGACCTTCTCGGCCGTCTGTCCACCGAGTCCATAACTCTAGTGATGATTACAAACCTTTAGGCCTCCAAAATGACAGTATTTTGTAATAGCCGCACTTTTAAGGTATCACTGAATTCTGATTGCGTTCATAGTTAGGTCGTCCGTACGCATAACACGTACGTATTACGGCTCTGTTTCGTAACTTCACAATTAATGTGCGACGAATGTTATGAAGTACAGAATAATTTATTTCGTATAATTTTTATTATGCAACTTAAAAATTTAGAATATTATTATAATATTTTGACAGCGAATCATTAATTGGCATGACAAAAATCATGTCTAATAACCGTGTCGCACCCACTCCTTTGAAGGTTGGAGACTCTACACTCGAAGCTGTTGACAATTATGTATACCTGGGACAAACAGTCCAGTTAGGTAGGGCCAACTTCGAGAAAGAGGTCAATCGTCGAATCCAACTCGGCTGGGCAGCGTTCGGGAAGCTACGCAATATACTCACGTCCGAAATACCGCAGTGTCTCAAGACAAAAGTCTTCGAGCAGTGTGTGCTGCCAGTGTTGATTTATGGATCTTGGATCCGAAACGTGGACGCTTACTATGGGCCTCATAAGAAGGTTCAAGGTCACCCAAAGGGCGATGGAGCGGGCCATGCTTGGAGTTTCCCTGCGTGATCGAATCAGAAATGAGGAGATCCGCAGGAGAACCAAAGTGACCGACATAGCTCGCAGAATTGCTAAAACCAAGTGGCAGTGGGCGGGGCACATAGCTCGTAGAGACGATGGCCGTTGGGGCAGAAAAGTTCTCGAGTGGCGACCACGGGCTGGAAGACGTAGCGTGGGCAGGCCTCCTACTAGGTGGACCGACGATCTCGTAAAGGTCGCGGGAAGAGCCTGGATGCGGGCAGCGCAGGACCGTGCATTGTGGAAAGCCTTGGAGGAGGCCTTTGTCCAGCAGTGGACGTCATTTGGCTGAAACGAACGAACGTGTTACCTATTTTCGTAACTTTCCTTTTTTTGTTTTTAATTTTTTTTGAAGCAGTGTACCTAAGTGTACCTACGTAATTTACTGCCGTATTGTATTTAATTTGTGGCACAGATTATTATTAATAGTTACGGTATTGCACTATTCTTACTTAATTGTATCAAATCTGCAAATCAAAGGTATTTAAGGCTACGAATGAACCCTAGGGCCTATTGTTTATCAGCAAAGAATTCTGCATTAACTTCAGACTATTGCTTGCAAATCGGACAATGTCATGAATTCTGACCACTGCGAGTCAACTGACGTTGCCAGTATTGCCACATAATGTATTTTGTACACTCGGACCCTTGCGTGGAAACGTACCGCGGTCTGACCACTGCATGTATAAAATTCTGACGGTGACACAAATTCTGACCGTTGCGTGTAAATTTGCAGGGCTCGGACCCTCGCGTGGCAATGTGCCGCAGTCTGACCATTACATGTATAAAATTATGACCGTTGCGTGTATTGTTGCAGGGCTCATACCCTCGCATGGCAATGTGCCGCGGTCTGACCATTACATGTATCAAATTCTGACCTATGCGTGTATTGTTGCAGGGCTCATACCCTCGCATGGCAAAGTGCCGCGGTCTGACCATTACATGTATAAAATTCTGACCTTTGCGTGTATTGTTACAGGGCTCGGACCCTCGCGTGGCGACGTGCCGCGGCCGCCTGCAGACGCGCCGGTGCCAACTCAACCAGGAGATCAACAAGGAGTTGCGTCTCCGAGCTGGTGCAGAGAACCTATTTAAGGTGAGTTTTTCAAAGCTATACCTGCCTCTGTGTGACGTCACCCGTATCCAGTGCTAGTGCGAAGAAAACGTGATATGCACTGACATAATTATACCGCCTGTCACGTCAGTCTGCGTCGAGTATAGAGTGAGTGAGTTTTTTTTTCAATTGATAGGTGTCCTTTTAAAGAGCTGGTGAAGTGCTGATTCGGCTTCTGTCAGTGATTTTTTATAGCAGTACGAACCTATGACGTCAATTGTAGGCCCTTTTCAAGGCACCTATATACGTCCCATATAGCTTGATCACCACTTCGGTACAACATGAAGGCTGGTAAGAAGAAGTGTCAAAAGAAACTCATGCCCGTTTTCACCATCAATCCCTAATTTTTAAGTGACCCATATGAAAACAAAATTCCTGTTATGTGTTACCATAGGAGCCGCATAAAAATTAGGGATTGGTGGTGAAAACGGGCATCAGCCACCTTTTCTTCGGGCAATAATCCACTGCACTGAATCCGAGAAATGTCGGTCCGAAGTCGGATGCAATAGCTCTTAAACCGCACGAGTCGTACATCATAGATAATTCGCGTCGATCGATAACAGGCAAAACCACTACAGACCGCAATCCTGCAATTTCTCACGGAATGCCATCACACCTCGGCAAATCGGTGAAACCACTGCAAATAGACTGAAGATTGTCGCCGCAGCCATAGCCTGGATATTAACGAACAGGTCACTTTGATCACCTAATGATCTTGTCAATGGGTAATCAAAGGACTCCAAAGTGTCGCCTGAAGTCCACTTTGATCACCTGGGTGATAAAATACAGGTGATCAAAGGGGAATAGACGCTCAAAATGGGCGCGCTTCGAGGAATACCTGACCTCCTCCCAACAACGTCATCCAAATATTCGAATGTTTCCATCCTTCTCACTTAAAAAGAGATGCCAGGACCAGTAACAGTGACAGATAGATACATAAAATAGAAGTGCAGCTATTTATTTTCATTCCGCAGCTATAAATTGTCCTCAAGGATCTCCAGCTTGGCCGCCTATTAAAACTTTACTTAAAACCTAAATTTACTTCACCAAGTACCTACGATGACGGCTATTATACTACTTTTAGCAAAGAAATATTAAAGGCCTAAAGAAAGATCCTACTTACTACCACTATGTTGACCAACGATCTGGTGAATGTCGTGGAAAGTACCTGGATGCGGGTAGCCCATGACCGGTTCACAACGTGAAAAGCATTGGGGGAGGCCTTTATCCAGCAGTGGACGTCATTTGGCTGTAACGAACCAACTTGCTACATAAATACGAACATGACCTTTAGGCCTAAGATGCGCGCCGCGATAAGCATTTATCACGCCATTTTATCGATTTTACGCGATAAGCCCATACATTAGTCGCCTAAAATCATCGATTAAATTTTATCACGGCGCGCATCCTAGCTCGGCTGTTCGTTCTATTTGACCCATCCGATTAGGCCCGGTCTGGCCAGGGCGGCTGGTCGGCGATCGCCGAGGGCCTCCGGCTCAAGGGGGCCTCCAAAAGCCAAAAAATTCAAGTATACAAAAGTTTTTTCATTATAAAAAATTATTTTGTTTTACTGTTCCAGAGCGACGTAATACAGCAAAAACAATTTTAAATAAACAGTAACCTACTTTTTATTAAATTACAGCTAAGGTTAACCTAGGTATATTAAAAAAGTAATAGTAAGTCGCTCGGTGCTCGAAGTACTCGGTCACCCCCCCGCGCGCACCTGCATGTCGCGTCGTAGCTGTTTGCTGTCAGTTGAATTGACCTGCTGTCGGTGAGTTGATGTGCGTTGTGAGTTTGTTTGAAATTTAAAGGTGAATTTTTCAGTTTATAAAATGAAACGTGTGCACCCAAGTGGTGCAAGTAAAAGAAAAAAGAAGGAGAGGAAATCTTTCGAAATAAAACAAAGTTCACAAAGTTTGAATTTATGGTTAGCTGGTTCCAGTTCCAATCCTGAAAACATTGAAAAAACGCAAACAGGTAGGCGGAAATATCAGAAGATTTTTATGAGCATATAAGCCCTTAACTTAAAATACTTTTGATTGTATTTGTTGCTAAAGTAAATTTTTGGAGTAAAATGTGTGATAAACAGTAAATGTGATTCATACATAGATTATTCAAAATATAAAAAAATCGGACGTTCTTTTTTACTGGGTATGGCAAAAACTCCCTTAAATCATTAACTATTGTTGTTGTATAAAAACTAGGTACTATTGGTCATATTTTTTNCCCCAAATCTCATTTCTTTTTGTATTTTGTAGACAGCAGTTATGTATCTAGAAAACTGGACCGAAATTGAAAAATTTTACTCGACTTGGCGGTTGCACTACCGTGCCCCCAAATGTTTTAGTTTTTCTTTGATTCATACACCAAACACTACTTATATTCCAAATTTGAAGCTTCTAGGTCTGCTAGAAGTGCCTTAGAATTTTGATGATCGGTGAGTCAGTCAGTGAGTCAGTGAGTCAGTGAGTCAGTGAGTGACAAAATTGAGTAACTTTGACCCGTTATAATTCTTAAACTACTGGTTCAAATTGAATGAAATTTTAAATATACCGTGTCTTTACAATGCCTGCATAGCTAATGAAAATTCAGCCTTCTAGTTTTATCAACAACGAAGTTACAGGCGGTCGAAAATGGCCTGAATTGCTTCGAGAAAAGGATGGTACGGCCGTGCCGCTTTTTTGCTCGACTTGGTGGGGGCACTGCCGTGCCCCCAGATCCGATTTTAGAATAACAAAAATCATATTTTTTTACCCGACTGCGCCAAAAGGATGGTTGTGTTTTTCGAGTGTATGTATTTGGACGTATTAAGGACAAAGTAAAAATTTAGTAGTCTGTAGTTTTAGGCTGTATTATGTACCTACTTAGTTATTGAAATTTTCTAGCGATAAGAGTCGCAACTCAACGCAATCTGTATTTATATTTTTTGCACATCAGTCTCCCCTTTTTGTTGAAATATAGCGCCTATTACACACTACATAAGACCCCACAATGTTTACTGTTCATTAAGTAATACATCAAAAAGCTTCTACCCTACACATGTAAACATACTCGCATCAAAATTGACCATTTCTAAGCAACAGTCCAAAAAGACCAGCGAAGACAAAGGACTATGTAAATTAGGTTCTCACCAAGGTCAGGGTTCAGAGACCGAGCGAGAAAGGGTGTCACGCACACTTGCGCGCGCGTTTCGACCGCCGTTTATGTTATGATGGCTAACGTATCTGGCACAGTGAAGAGAAGCGGTAGGTGATGTTTAAAAAATATATTTTGAAATTGGAACAGTCAGTTCTGTACTTCGTATTTAAAAAAATAATTTAAAAATCGAACAGTCCTGGAACAGAAGATTTTAGTATCTCTGTTTATGCGATCTATCACAGATGAAGTAAGAGAGGACTTCCAAGTAGGAAGATAGAGTAAAGTTATTAAATGATAGAAATAATCGTGAATGAGTTGTTTCAGTTTAATATTAAAACGAGGGGAGAGCTGTAGTCTAGAAAAATGTTATCGTGACATAATTAAAGTACCTACATACATGGTAGCAATCTCGGCAATAAATTCTTCCAACGTTTTCATGGTTTAGAAAAGTACCAAATGGATTTTTTCTATTTATTCAGACAGGTCTGATGTCTTTAAAATATACTTAAGACTACTGCTGTTTACTATGGCCCACCTATGGCCGGTCAAATCACTTCTGTCCAAAACGTACAACAATCACATCGAACCCATGTCGTGTCCGGTCAATGCACCGAAGAAAGGTGATTTTCTTAATGGTTTCCCATTCACGGTGACGTCAGCAGCGCCCGCGCAGGATGTTACGCCGCCATTGTTCTATGGTTACGCGTGAAATTGCACAAATCCATTTAGACGGATTACTGAGATAGGGAATATCCTATGAAGACATTGTTGGGGAGTATGGGCGTGAATGGGTTAATAAAACTCTTCCATGGTATTTGACTTTATTCAAATATTTTTTTACAATAAGAATAGCAGTGGGCGGGGCACATATGTAGCTCGTAGAGACGATGGCCGTTGGGGCACAAAAGTTCTCAAGTGGCGACCACGGGCTGGAAGACGTAGCGTGGGCAGGCCTCCTACTAGGTAGGTGGACCGACGATCTGGTAAAGGTCGCGGGTAGAGCCTGGATGCGGGCAGCGCAGGACCGTTCATTGTGGAAAACCTTGGGGGAGGCCTTTGTCCAGCAGTGGACGTCATTTGGCTGAAACGAACGAACGAATAAGTACCTACCTATACCAAAGTAGTATTCGGGACAGTTCTAATAGGTATCTAAGTTGCTTCTCGGTGCGTAATAACTACGCCAGAGCGAAGCGATTCCGGAATTATCACAACGGATATGTTTGTAGTTTTGTCTAGGGGGACTGTAAGAAAGTTTACCGGCTATTTGGGATTTCCAAATATCTCAAAAACAGCTTTACTTTATAAAGAAAATCTCAAGAAAAAGTAAGTAGCGAACTAGCGACCATGGACTGACTGTAGGTAGGGCTCCCTTTCAATGGACCTTTGATGGGTGTAAATAATAATATGTATAATATGTATGTATTTAATAAAAAAAAAAGAAAAGTATATAAGTAGTATATCCGTTAAGCTAGCACCCATAACACAAGCATTGAGTTGCTTACTTTGGGGCTAGCTGGCGCTGTGTGAAATTGTCCAAAGATTTATTTATTTATTATTATTATTTATTATTATTATATGATCTAGTGCAGGACGCGGAAAACGCCTTTGTCAGGCAGCGCAGGACCGGTCGTTTAAAAGTCCTTGGAGGAGGATTTTGTCAAGAAGTCCCTTGTTTGAAACGAACAAGAAATATTATAGAAAATACTACTATTCTATTCATTTATAATATTTTTTTCTTTTGTTTCCAGGCCACGACGAACAGAAAGCTCAGGGAGACGGTGGCACTCGAGCTCAGTTTCGTGAACTCAAACCTCCAGCTCTTGAAGGAGCAGCTGGCTGAGCTCAACTCCTCGGTTGAGCTGTACCAAAGTGACAGGTAAGAACTGATTCTGAACCTTATAGATATTAAGGCTATGGTCTTGTATTAAACGCTATACGCCACGTCTGCCGTCCAGCGTCTAACGTTCCTATCGACATCCATACGTCAACGTTTGAACTCTTTCACACAAAAAATTTGTTTGGTCTCTACCACAACAGTAAATTTCCATAGTAAGCATGATGACGCAGGATGCAGGCCGCTACCAGGCGATGTGGCGTGGCAATCACTGGGGGAGGCCTATGTTCAGCAGTGGACGTCCTGTGGCGGAAATGATGATGATGATTGTGCCGCCGTTTATAGGAGAAACACAGCCTAAATTAATAACATTACCATAGAATAAGTAATAGTACCAACATTACGCCTTACAACCTCTATCGCTTGAAAAAATCGTCTCTGCTTAACGTCGTAACTTCTCGTCGTGCCTTTGAACTTCATTTATAGTATCAACCACATATTAAAACGCAAACAAAATCGCTATGATGAGCTGAGCTACCTCATAAAGGTCATAAAGGTAGCAGAAAGGCGCTAAGGACTACTATTCCGGAGGTTGCGAGTTCGATTCCCGCATAGTACAAACATTTGTGTGCATGAACATATTTGTTTGTATTGGACTGGTTGTTTTCTAAGTATATTATGTACTACTACAAAACTGTATTATATCCGTTGTCTAGTACCTACCCATAGTACAAACTTTGCTTAGTTTGGAACTAGAAGCACAGTGTAAAATGTCCAAGAATATTTATTTATTTATTAAATGTGCGATAAAATCTTCCTGTGACACAGAAATTCTTGCGAACGAAGCCGTGGGCAAAAACTAGTCTATAAAACCGTAATCATATCAATAAGACTTGTCCGGCGACACCTGATATTTAGAAGTGATTCTAACCCAGTTTGCTCAAGTAAATACACGTACGTATATCAAAGTAAGTTGAAGAATGTGAAAGTATGTCTTTAGTGTAGATTGATAGTCGATGAAATGTCGAAACATAAATATCGGCTATGTTTTGCCGGCGGCGCGTCGCGCTTGTTTATGTAACTAGTAAATTGCATGTTTTCGAGTTTTATGTGTGTCCGCTAAACTAGTGTATTTACTGTGTCCACTTGTGTAGCTAAGTGATAGGTAGGCGGTACATATATGTATATGTTACAGGAAATGTATGAAATCCGTCATTGTATACAATTCCTAGGAATTGTGTATAAGTCCTAAAATCACCCGGAAATGTGTGATGTAAATTATATTAGACACATTTCCTAGGAAAATTACACATTTCCTAAACAGCAATCGGAAATGTAATTAAGATTTTTTTTTTACACAAAATTATTTTTGTTACGCCATTTTTTGTTCTCCGAAACTTAAATGGCGCTACCGCGCCGCGGCAGCTGTGGATGTGTAAGGTCGCAAGTCTAACCTAACCTAACCTAGACTTTGTTATCCAGCTACAGGAGTACTAAAACCTTCATGTCAATAATAGTTTAATAAAAGAGATGTTAAAATTACGGCTTTCCAATACTTCAGCGTAATATGCGTGATGCCGAAAGAAAGGTATGCCAATAAATTTTAGGCAAATATTTTTTTGACCAGAGTATAATAGTGCCAAAAACAACTGTCAGGTTAAACAATAATAATTGTGAGTTAAAAGTACCTATCGGCCAATGTGGTTTGGCTAAATGAAATTTTAGGCGTACCGAGGGACACCCGATCACGCGACCGCGCTTGTGCCGCTTAGTTTTATACATTTCCTAATACAATATTGGAATTCTATAAAATTCCTAGGAAAAGTATACATTTCCTAGGATATGTGCGTATTAAAAAATCTCTGAAGCAATATTTTATACATTTCCTAAATAGCTTCGGAATTGTATACATTTCCTAGGAATAGTATACAATTCCTAGAATTCATACATTTCCTGTAACATATACATACTTACGATACATACGATACAGTTATCGTAGACAGGATCATTACACTCGGAAAGCTAGTCATCCTCAAAGTGAAATTGAGAACTGACTCATGATGTCCTTACAAAATATTTATTTTATATAAAAAACCCAACTGCGTAAAAATGAACTAAAAAGATAAATACATAATGTTTAAATTTGTTGTCGGGTACCCATTAGCAACTTATGTAATCTGTTCCCATAAATTGTGCTAGGTAAACTATAGTACCTACATGACGTAGGTATAACTTTGCTTTAATTTGGGACTGGATAACGCAGTGTAAAATGTCCAAGGACCGGTAAAGCTGTTGAAACTGCTTAAGCTTCCAGCGATAGCCACTTTAAAAAAAGGAATCTTAATAATTATGTAGGTATTTACTAAATATTTCTAAGACATAAAACAAAAATATAGTACCCAGGCCTAATGTGTATAAACATTTACCTCAAGACAGGGTACCTAAGTCCTCAAAATAAATACTTCTCGATAAACAGGTTTGAAAAATTACATTGAAAAATATTTTTAAACTCACTTGTTCAACATGAAAGGGAAAATCCTCTTGGATGCGTAATCATGGTACTCATTTTAGTATTCTGAAATTTACATACCTAATAAGGACGATTACGGAAAAAATCAACCAAAACTACGTTAGGGTTGTGAATGGTGTCACTTGGAACAGGTACAAAAGTAACTGTGACAATTAATAATATAATAATAATAATGTATTTTTAGTTTTTTTTTATAATTTACATTGTAAAAAAAATATTAAAAATAAGAAGGAAAATGCACAAAACTTTCACAATGGTAGTAACACAATTTAAATATAAATATAAATAGTGCATTGCTGAAGGTAACACAGAGTAAATATACAGAGGTTTCCAAACTAGGCCAAGCCTGTATCTTGGAAAACCAATAAAATTAAGTGTGTAACTTGCAGAGAAAAGGAAAACCAGTACAACAATGCAATTTCTGGTGCAAAAGAAACATCATGAGTAGCCTAAAAACATCAATTTATCAGGTTTTCTGTACTTAAATAATCCAGCGAGAGTAACCACTTGCTTAGGGCTATCTTTGCTTCCGAAACAGAACAAGATTTTATATTACAAGAGCTTGCTGCCTTATTATTAATACGCGCCTTAACATAGTCACCAAATCTGCTTGCAAATCGAGAATTTACGGAGAAAATATTCAATGTTTTAAAACGGTTTTTAGGTTTGAAAGTATTCAATGTTTTATAAAGCAATATTATACACGATACTTCACGTTTTTCTCTCTCATTTTCTTATCATGAAAAACTTCTTTATTTTGGCCTAAACATAACTTTCCATCTGATGAGATGCAGGCCAAGAGCTTACTTAATTCTAAGAAAAAAAGAACTTAAAAAAATATATGGCTTGTCAGTTTCTTGATGCCTTAAAAAGAAGCTTTGATGTATAAATATCACTCGCCCGTAATACATCCTGTCCTGTGTGTAACAATGATAACATACACTTACTCGCAAAACACAAATATCCATCCACAGTTATGCAATTATTTCTAACGACTCATTCACCCACATTTCCTATATGACGAAAAGCTATTTTCTGTTGAAACAGGGAAATCCATTTGCCCACTTGTCTTTATCGCTTCCGAGGCTATTAATGATTGATAAGTGATATAAGCTTGTATTGACTTTAGTAAGCATTATGTTTCTTATATGGCAAATTGCCATTATATTCATGCAATCGTTGGTTTCTAACGCCCGTATTCACAAACGGTGCATGCTTAAGTGAAGCAGCAAATCGAACGCACAGCGTTGAATAGAACTCTGTGATTGGTTCGTGTGTCACCCTGTGCGTTCACGCGCACTGTGAGACCTCAATACGGGCGTAAACATGTTTTAAAAATTTCTGTAAAGAAACAAACTCAGAAACTTGCCTATATATTAATTAAATAAGGCCTAAAATCTGTGAAATTAAATAAATAAAATATAAATATATTATTATCTAATAGACCAATGCCAAGATATCAAGTGACACGCACCCCTCACTACAAGCTACTGTGGCGGGCTTACAAAAACGAAATGGCACATAATGGGCCGCAGCGTTTAAAGCGCAGTCCTTGCCTTGTAACTGTTGATGTCGTCGTCGTCGTTATAGCCGAATGATGCCTTTGTCCACTGCTGGACAAAGGCCTCACCCAAGGATTTCCATAAAGACCGGTCCTGCGCCGCCTGCATCCAGGCGCCCCTCCTGCTGTTATTGTTGATGTAGGTAACTTAAATAAATTAATATCAAGTGACACGCACCCCTCACTACAATCTTCTGTGGCGGGCTTACAAAAACTCGAAATGGCACATAATGGGCCGCAGCGTTTAAGAAGCCCTTGGCTGCCCGACACATTCGCGCCAATGTGGTAATAGGCATAATGATAATGCCACAGGTAATGCGTCCGTCAGTCAGTGTTGCCAATTTAATTTTACTATGTTGCGGGACTTAATTTTGGTTTCAGGCAATATTTTCGTTGTTTTATTGGTTTGATTGATATTAAGTATGTAGCTTTTGCCTGCGGCTTTGCCTTCGTGGATTTAAAAAGGCTATAGTAAGTACTATACTAGTACCTACTAAATGTACGAATACTACCACAGACAATATAATATACTACCTACTAAAGTATTTAGTAGTCACTCAAAAATAATGTTACTTTCTATTGAAATAATATGTATAATTACTTACATTAAACGTACGACATATTATACACTGCACTTACTTATTTATATTATAGAGCCAAATACTTACATATTTTTGTGCGTGTTATTCATCATACTTCGCACTGCGTAATTGTCTTTTCTTTAAAAAATCCACCATCAGAATTCTTCGCATAGCCCAGTATTGTTGCCATGAAAAATTAATCTCTGCAAGAAATCGTATTTATTTAATTAATCCGTTCACGGAGGCAATTACAATTAAGAAAGAGCGTGTAAAAAGTTCTATTTCCGCCATTGTTGTGGTTTCCCGCGCTCGCCGCCGCCATATTGTATTTGTGAACAGTGGGACCGGTCTTGCCAAAGTATGAAAAATAATTTAAGATTATTACAGTGTTTAACTTGATAATAGGCCTCGGTCAAAGGGACTGTAGCGCTTTTAGGCGAGTTCATAAATTTTCTGCGAGATTTCTATGGGCAGGGAAGGGCAGCTGGGTACGCCCATGCTTCGGCCACAGATACGGGGATGTCTGGTGGCGTCTAAAGATGCCACGACAGCGTAGAACGTGTCTTGCGTGCCGCTCAAAGGAGGCTGAAGAGTGCTGAAGGCGTAACGATGCCTTCCTTGGTTGGGCCCCACACTAAACGAGCCGAATTCCGAACAGGAACGTACTAATTCTTGGGGCAAACTTCTTAGGGCCGATAGTGATGTCCCGCGTTTTCGGCTCATGGCTCACCGAGGGCAGCGTCAGGTTCGTGTGGGTAGGCCCTGCCCTTCTGGCCGAGACAGCCCCACATAATCCACTAGCTGCCCCCGTGACCGGTAATAGGCTAGTTGCCTAAAAAAATTTTTTTAGTCCGTAATGTTTAATATAAAAAAATATTGGACACATATATTTTTATTTGTCAATCTAACAAATAATTACATAGTTATGGTGCGTTGAAGTTGCGCACGACGTCACAACGTGCGGCATTTTTAAGCAAGCGTTGACGTCACGGGCCTCTTCTTATGAACTTTGGGGCGCTTATCTCTTAAAATTTTCATTAGTTTGAAAAAGTGAAAAATACGTGTAGAGTATTTTTTGATAAGTTAACTGACGGACTAATTAAAACTCTTGCTTTTCGACCCAGGCAACAGCCCCATTCAGTATGTATTTTCCTGACGATAAAAAAAAGTTTTTAGCTTGATGGACTGTCGTCTGTGCCTACTTAAAAGTTGAGTCTCCACAAATTTGTGGAGACTTGAATCTACTTAGTAAAGTAAAGTAAATTAGTAGTAGACCTGCTGTACCTCAATATTGTGCCGATGCTGTGGGTATGACTGGTATGACATACGCGGGAATTCCATTTGTTCCATTCAATGAAAGTTCAGTTTTTGGATTATATTTTCTCTAAACAAACCTTATGTGTATAAGTAAATCATTTAGGCACCTATTTTTCTCAGACTGTTAATATTTTACTAAAGACCGATACGATAGTAGGTATAATAAGACCATAATCATTCAAAGTTCGGGATGATGGTATGAAATTCACGAGGGAAAAAATGACCAATTGTATGTTTTGCAATAAAAGCTTCAATCGTCATAGAAATAAGGTACAATTTTCAATCGCACTCTTAGCTAGCGTGCGTCGTGTAACTGTTTTTTAATACTTGCCTCTTAATTAGAAGCGGCTCTTTTGTACACATTTCCCTCAATTATCAACTTGCCTTTTTGTAAGAAAAAAACTACAGTATTAAAGTGAAGCTTTTACATGAAGAGATCTGTTGGTTGTATGGACGCCAGCACATCAAGTAAACTAAGAGCTAGTGAACGCCAGACCTACGTCATTTTATAAAAGCTGAAAGTTTGTCAGCGTATGCTCCCAATATAGGATATAATGTTGGTGAATTATGAAGTTCGGGTCATCGTGGCTTTGGCAGCTACCCTAAAAAAACTGTCTGGCAAGGAGTTTGAACTGTCAAAACTGTCTGGCTGTTGGGGAAAATACTTCTAATTATTGCCCAAATATTATACATAAAAATCAGATTTTATGGTATAACGTAAGTCTAACTTTTACGGTGGCTTTTTCTGTATATTCAATAGACTGTAATTCTACTAACGTTCACTAGCTCTTAGTCTAAAGGTAAACACTGTGGCATTTTAAGTGGATGTAATAGGGTCTATTTTGCACCAAAAATGTATAGTATGATGTGCTGTTGACTGTACTAGGGGTGTTCAAAAAGTAATGGATGAGAATGGGATATTTGTAGCCATCACAAAAATCTGAAAAAAAAAATTGGGTAGGTTAATTCTTCACTAGAAACTGGTAAAAATATCATTTAAGTTCACTATTGCGCTTAAGAATTACATTCACCTGAACACGACCACGACATTTTAATACACGAACACGGCATTTTATACATTACCTAGGTATTGTATAGAATACCTGAATTATACAAATTGCCGGTAACATAGACAAACTTGAAAATTATCTACTTAGTTTTCCCCTTATTTTTTTTTTGTTATCTTATGACTATTTTTAACCTTTGTTTTCAGCAAAGAATGCGTGATGCCGATGATCCCCCTGGGCCTGAAGGAGACAAAGGAGGTGGACTTCAGGGAGCCGTTCAAGGACTTCATCATGGAGCATTACAGCGAGGACCCGGCCACGTACGAGGATGCCATATCAGACTTCATGGATATGAGACAGGTAAATAATTTGCTAGAATTTTTTTATTTTTATGCAGAACAAGGCAGGATCGCAACTGATGATGATGATGACCTATTTACTCTCGCCTTAAAAAGGCAACTCTATGGTGTACGGTGTAGGATTATCTTCTATCTTTTGACCAAAAACGTAAACTAGACAAAGACCTCGCCCGCGTGAATTTTGGTCTAGTATTACAGAAATACTATAGGGCGCGTGTCTTCCTTTCCAAAACCGGAGCAAAACTATCCTGTTTTTCCCTGGGTCTTAAAATCTTCACCTTAACTAAACCGATACGGTTAAGTGTGAAAGGGTAAAAGATTTTTTTATGCAAGACAAGGCAGGTATTTGACCGCAATAGCACTCTGGTGTTAAGTGATATGCAGATAGAATGAAAAGGCCCGGATTATCTGGGGGCACGGCAGTGCCCCCGCCAAGTCGAGCGCGAAGCAAACACTGCCGTACCATCCTTTACTGGAACCATTTCGCCGCATTTTCAGGCCCCTATTTGAGAACCTCTGGATAAGACCAGAAAGCAGAAATTTTCGTCATCTAGTAAGCTATAATCACATACTTAAAATCCAAAATTTCAAGTCTGTAGGTCATTTAGTTCCGAAGTTAAGCGAAAGCAAAGTTTCGCATTTATGACACTCACTCACTCACTGATGATCATCAAAATAGAACTAGTACTTCCCATAAACTCAGAGAGCTGAAATTTGGTACAGAGTTAGGGTTTAATGGCCACATGAAGGGAAAACTATAAAAACTAGGAAAATCGAAGATCTGGAGTAACACCACATTCATAATCAATACTACTAGCGCCACACCGGCACCGTGGTGTTCGCCTGTACCGCTCACCGCTAGATGGCGCTAGCACTTTGAGCGTCGATTTTCTGCACCGCGGTGTCCAGATTTTTTTCCTTTCTAGACCCCCCCGTCGATTAAGTTGAATGTTGTGTATTTTGAATTTGGTTCATTTCGTTTATTATATCGTGAGGTTCGCTAAGGTTAAGTTATTATTAAAACAATTATGATTCGTTGTCCATTTTAAAGGTCGCTGTGTTTAATATCGTAAAAAAAATGTCGATAATATTAAAGGACCACGACGTTAAATAATTATGCCACATTCTACAAAAAGAAGTGAAATCCCACCAAAACATTCTGTAAAAAACTAGCCAAGTCTCGATGGAGCTGCTTGTTTATCTCTAAAAAGTAATGAAATCTAGACAAAGTCGTGCCAAGTCTATGGTTCTTTACTGCGATTTCTTTATTATTATAGTTAATGTTGTGTGACTTGGCCGTTGAACAATCTTTATTAAGATAATCAATAATCATGCATAAGTATTATTGAAATACGCAGCTTTATTAAGCCTACAATTGACTGGTTATTAAATCAACGTTTTCCAAGTGGCAATTTTCCATCGTCAATGGGTAGCGGTTCTGGCAACAGATTGGTGCAATGGTGTCATGGAGCACCTGGTTTTGTCACCCTTCAACGGCCAAGTCACACAACATTAACTATAATAATAAAGAAATCGAAGTAAAGAACCATAGACTTGGCACGACTTTGTCTAGATTTCATTACTTTTTAGAGATAAACAAGCAGCTCCATCGAGACTTGGCTAGTTTTTTACAGAATGTTTTGGTGGGATAGTGTTTAGAACTGTAGATGGATTTACTTTCGCATTTTTATTTTTGGAAATTGTTAAGATCCCATTTTTTCGTTTTTAGTGTTAAAGTTAGATATACCTTTATTAGTAGGTATTTGTTGTATTTGTATTTTATTCTTAGTATGGAATTGTTCCAGGCTATGCGAACGCCAGTCCGCTCCACCGCGGGGGTGGCGTTGCTGTTCAAGTACTACAACCAGCTGTACTACATCGAGAGGCGGTTCTTCCCCCCGGACCGATCTCTCGGCGTCTACTTCGAGTGGTTCGATTCGTTAACAGGTATGTTTTATTGTTATTTTATTAATTTTCCTTTATTATTGTTTTTTTTTTATTCTTGTAAGTATTCCTTTTTATATTTATTTTTTGTATATATTTTTTTGTGTTCTGAGTTCTAAACTTGTGAATGTGGAACCAATAGTACATTTTGTGGAAATGTTTAAGAAAACGTAGAAAATTATGCTAGCAGACGTATTTACGACGACGTGTTCCCTAAAAAGGAATAATAATACAAATGAAAAATCTTAATTAATATACTCGTACCTAGTTAACATAATAATATGCTTTTATGTCAATAAAGTTTTTACATAATGTATTTCTATTTCTTTTTACCAGGAGTCCCATCGTGCCAAAGAACAGTGGCTTTCGAGAAAGCTTGTGTCCTGTTCAACATGGCTGGAATCTACACACAAATTGGCGCTAAACAGGTAAAAATTTATTTCAAATCAAATGTCTGTTATTAACTTGTGCATGGAAAAATTGACTTTCAATAAGTATAGCTTTCAAATTCCATGCGCAATAGTAGTGTACCCATACCAATGGTAGTCTTCATATGAGTTTCTTCGATGTGGTATAAAAATCTGCGAAAGTAAAACTGTCAGTTGACTTGCAGCAGAGATGGTATCTCGAAGAAGGATACTTGCAAAAAATCCGGTCGAGTTAACTGCGTACCTGGTCATCGACGCTTTGGTACGGTGTGCGAATTAGTCGGAGGGAGAGTCGCATTCCAGCGGGGTAATTAAGTAGTTCGATTGGGTTGCATAGGTTCAAAATCCTAGCGCACAATATCGCAGACAGAAGCGTTTCTGATTAATTTTTATTATTGACGGGAGTGCTACCATGTACACGCGGCCACAGTGTTAACGTCCATTTCCGTTTTTGCTCTCGCTCTCATCAAATGGTGATTCTTTGCGATAGAACGCGACGACATGACCGAAAATGGGCAGTTAACACTGTTGCCGAACCTTAATTTCGAGTTCCCGATATTTCGGCACTGTTGCAAGCGCCATAATCACGAAGTTTCTCATAAACTTTGATGGTTACAGGACCGAAACACATGTGCAGGCCTGGACGGCGCGGTGGATGCGCTGCTCCGCGCCGCCGGCACGTTGCGGTATATCCACGAGAACTTCACGAATGCACCCTCTGTGGACCTGGCTGCGGACACCTTGCTGGTACTGGGGGCGCTCATGACGGTAAGAGTCTCCTCATCATACTTAGGGGCTCCCCTAGGACCAAAACACAGCCCTAGACGGCGTGGTAGACGCGCTACTCCTTGAGTTACATACACGAGAACTTCACCAACACACCGCCTGTAGACCTTGCGCGTAATGGGGGCTCTCATGCAGTAAGAGTCTCCTCATTATACTTAGGGGATCCCTTAGGACCGGAACACATGGCAGACCAGCCGGGCTAGGATGCACGCTGTGATATACTCTTATCGATGATTTTAGACGTCGACGACATTTACGAAAACTTGACCAACACACCGTCTGTAGACCTGGCGCGTACTGGGGGCGCCCATAACGGTAAGAGTCTCATCACCATACTTAGGGGCTCCCCTAGAACCAAAACAGGCCTGGACGGCGTGGTAGACGCGCTACTCCTTGAGTTACATACACGAGAACTTCACGAATGCACCCTCTGTGGACCTGGCTGCGGACACCTTGCTGGTACTGGGGGCGTTCATGACGGTAAGAGTCTCCTCACCATACTTAGGGGCTCCCCTAGAACCAAAACAAGCCTGGACGGGGTGGTAGACGCACTACTCCTTGAGTTACATCCACGAGAACTTCACCAACGCGCCGTCTGTGGACCTGGCTGCGGACACCTTGCTGGTACTGGGGGCGCTCATGACGGTAAGAGTCTCCTTATCATATATAGGGGCTCCCCTAGGATCGAATCACATGTGCACGCCTGGACTCTGTGGTACATACACGAGAACTTCACCAAAACACCGCCTGTAGATCTTGCGCGTAATGGGGGCTCTCATGACGGTAAGAGTCTCCTCATTATACTTAGGGGATCCCTTAGGACCGGAACACATGGCAGACCAGCCGGGCTAGGATGCACACCGTGATATACTCTTATCGATGATTTTAGACGTCGACGACATTTACGAAAACTTGACCAACACACTGTCTGTAGACCTGGCGCGTACTTGGGGCGCTCATGACGGTAAGAGTCTCCTCATTATACTTAGGGGATTCCTTAGGACCGGAACAGGCCTGGACGGCGCGGTAGACGCGCTACTCCTTGAGTTACATACACGAGAACTTCACCAACACACCGCCTGTAGACCTTGCGCGTAATGGGGGCTCTCATGCAGTAAGAGTCTCCTCATTATACTTAGGGGATCCCTTAGGACCGGAACACATGGCAGACCAGCCGGGCTAGGATGCACACCATGATATACTCTTATCGATGATTTTAGACGTCAACGACATTTACTAAAACTTGACCAACACACCGTCTGTAGACCTGGCGCGTACTGGGGGCGCCCATAACGGTAAGAGTCTCCTCATCATATTTAGGGGCTCCCCTAGAACCAAAACAAGCCTGGACGGCGTGGAAGACGCAGTACTCCTTGAGTTACATCCACGAGAACTTCACCAACGCGCCGTCTGTGGACCTGGCTGCGGACACCTTGCTGGTACTGGGGGCGCTCATGACGGTAAGAGTCTCCTCATTAAATTTAGGGGATCCCTTAGGACCGAACACAGGCCTGGACGGCATGGTAGACACGCTACTCCTTGAGTTACATACCCGGGAACTTCACCAACGCGCCGTCTGTAGACCTTGCGCGTAATGGGGCTCTCATGACGGTAAGAGTCTCCTCATCATACTTAGGGGCTCCCTTTGAACCAAAACAAGCCTGGACGGTTTGGTAGACGCGGTACTCCTTGAGTTACATACACGAGAACTTCACCAACGCGCCGTCTGTGGACCTGGCTGCGGACACCTTGCTGGTACTGGGGGCGCTCATGACGGTAAGAGTCTCCTCATTAAACTTAGGGGATCCCTTAGGATCGAATCACATGCGCAGGCCTGTACCCTGTGGTACATACACGAGAACTTCACCAACGCGCCGTCTGTGGACCTGGCTGCGGACACCTTGCTGGTACTGGGAGCGCTCATGACGGTAAGAGTCTTTTTATCATACTTAGGGGCTCCCTTTGAACCAAAACACTACGAGAACTTCACCAACGCACCGTCTGTGGACCTTGCGCGTAATGGGGGCTCTCATGACGGTAAGAGTCTCCTCATCATACTTAGGGGCTCCCTTTGAACCAAAACACTACGAGAACTTCACCAACGCACCGTCTGTGGACCTTGCGCGTAATGGGGGCTCTCATGACGGTAAGAGTCTCCTCATTATACTTAGGGGATCCCTTAGGACCGGAACACATGGCAGACCAGCCGGGCTAGGATGCACACCGTGATATACTCTTATCGATGATTTTAGACGTCGACGACATTTACGAAAACTTGACCAACGACCCGTCTGTAGACCTGGCGCGTACTTGGGGCGCTCATGACGGTAAGAGTCTCCTCATCATACTTAGGGGCTCCCCTAGGACCAAAACAGGCTTAGACGGCGTGGTAGACACGCTACACCTTGAGTTACATCCACGAGAACTTCACCAACGCGCCGTCTGTGGACCTGGCTGCGGACACCTTGCTGGTACTGGGGGCGCTCATAACGGTAAGAGTCTCCTCATCATACTTAGGGGCTCCCCTAGGACCGAACACTAGCCTGGACGGCGTGGAAGACGCACTACACCTTGAGTTACATACACGAGAACTTCACCAACACACCGCCTGTAGACCTTGCGCGTAATGGGGGCTCTCATGCAATAAGAGTCTCCTCATTATACTTAGGGGATCCCTTAGGACCGGAACACATGGCAGTCCAGCCGGGCTAGGATGCACACCGTGATATACTCTTATCGATGATTTTAGACGTCGACGACATTTACGAAAACTTGACCAACGCACCGTCTGTAGACCTGGCGCGTACTTGGGGCGCTCACGACGGTAAGAGACTTCTCATCATATTTAGGGGCTCCCCTAGAACCAAAACAAGCCTGGACGGCGTGGTAGACGTGCTACTCCTTGAGTTACATACACGAGAACTTCACCAACGCACCGTCTGTAGACCTGGCGCGTACTGGGGGCGCCCATAACGGTAAGAGTCTCCTCATCATACTTAGGGGCTCGCCTAGAACCAAAACAAGCCTGGACGGTGGTAGACATGCTACACTCCTTGAGTTACATACACGAGAACTTCACCAACGCACCGTCTGTGGACCTGGCTGCGGACACCTTGCTGGTACTGGGGGCGCTCATGACGGTAAGAGACTCCTCGTCATACTTAGGGGCTCCCTTAGGACCAAAACAGGCCTGGACTTCCCGATCTTATCTATGGACACCCTGAGATACATAGGGGCACATAACTCGTAGAGCTGATGACCGTTAGGGCAGAAAAGTTCTCGAGTGGCAAGTGGTCCTTGACAGGCCTGACCGACGATCTGGTGAAGGTCGTGGGAAGTACCTGGATGCAGGCAGCGCAGGAGCAGCTGTTGTTAAAATCCTTGGGTAAAACCTTTATCCAGTGGACGTAATTTTTCTGTAACAGACGAACGAAGTTCAATCTGGAAATAATAATCAGAGGAGGCCTATGTATGTTCAGTTGAGGAATTCTTGTGGCTAAAATGATGATGATGAGAACCTTTATGAGAAATTAACCAAAGTACCGTCTATGGACCTGGCTGTGGACGCCTTGTTGGTACGGGAGGCACTTATGACGGTGCTAATCTTCTCATCTAATTAACTTTACCTTTACGGGATGTCGCCCAGTTCTCGCTACTCTTACTAAAGCGGCACATTTGAAGCGATCTTATCGTAGTAAATCCTGACTTTCTGTGTTAAAATTATTATCTATGTGTTCCAGGCCCAAGCCCGCGAGTGCCTATTCGAGAAGCTGCAGCTGCAAGCGCGCGAGGCGTGCGGGCGCGAGCGCGAGCTGCGCGACGACCTCGACATGTGCCTCGACCTGGCGCAGGAGAGCGCGCAGCTGGCGCACACCTACACGCAGCTCTACGAGAAGGTAGGACCCTCCCCCACTAAGGCAGAACCCTCCCCCAACATAGGCAGAACAGAACCTACGCCGTAGAAAAAATTGGCAAACCCCTACCTAGGCAGAACCCTCTCCCACCTAGGCAGAACCCCCCCACCTAGGCAGAACACTCCCCTACCTAGCCAGAACCCTCCCCTACCTAGCTAGAACCCTCCCCCCATATTGACCGAACCCCATACAAGTAGAACCATCCTCACCATGGATAGGACCCTCCCCCTATATTAAGTAGCGCGCATAACGTGCGGAAGAGAGCGCGAGCTGCGCGACGACCTCGACATGTGCCTCGACCTGGCGCAGGAGAGCGCGCAGCTGGCGCACACCTACACGCAGCTCTACGAGAAGGTAGGACCCTCCCCCACTAAGGCAGAACCCTCCCCCAACATAGGCAGAACAGAACCTACGCCGTAGAAAAAATTGGCAAACCCCTACCTAGGCAGAACCCTCTCCCACCTAGGCAGAACCCCCCCACCTAGGCAGAACACTCCCCTACCTAGCCAGAACCCTCCCCTACCTAGCTAGAACCCTCCCCCCATATTGACCGAACCCCATACAAGTAGAACCATCCTCACCATGGATAGGACCCTCCCCCTATATTAAGTAGCGCGCATAACGTGCGGAAGAGAGCGCGAGCTGCGCGACGACCTCGACATGTGCCTCGACCTGGCGCAGGAGAGCGCGCAGCTGGCGCACACCTACACGCAGCTCTACGAGAAGGTAGGACCCTCCCCCACTAAGGCAGAACCCTCCCCCAACATAGGCAGAACAGAACCTACGCCGTAGAAAAAATTGGCAAACCCCTACCTAGGCAGAACCCTCTCCCACCTAGGCAGAACCCCCCCACCTAGGCAGAACACTCCCCTACCTAGCCAGAACCCTCCCCTACCTAGCTAGAACCCTCCCCCCATATTGACCGAACCCCATACAAGTAGAACCATCCTCACCATGGATAGGACCCTCCCCCTATATTAAGTAGCGCGCATAACGTGCGGAAGAGAGCGCGAGCTGCGCGACGACCTCGACATGTGCCTCGACCTGGCGCAGGAGAGCGCGCAGCTGGCGCACACCTACACGCAGCTCTACGAGAAGGTAGGACCCTCCCCCACTAAGGCAGAACCCTCCCCCAACATAGGCAGAACAGAACCTACGCCGTAGAAAAAATTGGCAAACCCCTACCTAGGCAGAACCCTCTCCCACCTAGGCAGAACCCCCCCACCTAGGCAGAACACTCCCCTACCTAGCCAGAACCCTCCCCTACCTAGCTAGAACCCTCCCCCCATATTGACCGAACCCCATACAAGTAGAACCATCCTCACCATGGATAGGACCCTCCCCCTATATTAAGTAGCGCGCATAACGTGCGGAAGAGAGCGCGAGCTGCGCGACGACCTCGACATGTGCCTCGACCTGGCGCAGGAGAGCGCGCAGCTGGCGCACACCTACACGCAGCTCTACGAGAAGGTAGGACCCTCCCCCACTAAGGCAGAACCCTCCCCCAACATAGGCAGAACAGAACCTACGCCGTAGAAAAAATTGGCAAACCCCTACCTAGGCAGAACCCTCTCCCACCTAGGCAGAACCCCCCCACCTAGGCAGAACACTCCCCTACCTAGCCAGAACCCTCCCCTACCTAGCTAGAACCCTCCCCCCATATTGACCGAACCCCATACAAGTAGAACCATCCTCACCATGGATAGGACCCTCCCCCTATATTAAGTAGCGCGCATAACGTGCGGAAGAGAGCGCGAGCTGCGCGACGACCTCGACATGTGCCTCGACCTGGCGCAGGAGAGCGCGCAGCTGGCGCACACCTACACGCAGCTCTACGAGAAGGTAGGACCCTCCCCCACTAAGGCAGAACCCTCCCCCAACATAGGCAGAACAGAACCTACGCCGTAGAAAAAATTGGCAAACCCCTACCTAGGCAGAACCCTCTCCCACCTAGGCAGAACCCCCCCACCTAGGCAGAACACTCCCCTACCTAGCCANCCTCCCCCACCTAGACAGAATCCTCCCTCCCCCACCTAGACAAAATCCTCTCTCTCCTCACATAGGCAGACTTCTCCCTTCACTAGGTAAACCCCTTAATCTACATTGACAGAACCCCCACATTGGCAAAACTCTCACTCTCCCACGTAGACAGAACCCTAACTCTCTCCCCACTTAGGAACCCTCTCCCCACATAGGAACCCTCATCCCACATAGGAACCTTCTCCTACATAGGCAGAACACTCCTCTATATGTAGATAGTAAGTAGCGCGAGGCGTGCGCGAGCTGCGCGACGACCTCGACATGTGCCTCGACCTGGCGCAGGAGAGCGCGCAGCTGGCGCACACCTACACGCAGCTCTACGAGAAGGTAGGATAGGCAACCACCCCCCAAAATAGAAACCCCCTAGGCAAAAGAACCTCCCACATAGGCACCCCCCATTAGCAGAATCCTCCCCCCCATAAATACGAAGCGTGCGACGACCTCGACATGTGCCTCGACCTGGCGCAGGAGAGCGCGCAGCTGGCGCACACCTACACGCAGCTCTACGAGAAGGTAGGACCCTCCCCCTCATGAAGGCAGAACCCTTACCCACTTAGAGGCAAAACTAGTCTGCTCTAAAAGCAACAACCCTTCCCCACATAGGCAGAATCCTCCCCCACACAGGTAGAACCCCCGTTATAGCAGAATCCACCCCACATAGGAAAGTCCCTTCTCATATAGACAGATCCTTTTTTTAGGTGGTAAAAATGCATTGACTTGCATACCCGCCGCTGTGGTCAGGCGACGGGTTATGTGGGGCTTTCTCCTCCAGACGGGAGGGGCCCACCCACTAAAAGTCCACCAATGTCCTTCTTTCTGAGCATAGGGGAGCTAGTACAGTACTGTAACTCTGCAGCAGAGAGCAGCGTTCACATCTACATTCTCCTTTACCCCTCACACGATTCATATGCTTCGTCATACTTAACGACTAATAAGATCTATAAGTTTTTCAATCCAAATTGACCTGTGTATTGATTCTTTTCAGATGCAATCCGAGGGTGTGTTCAACTACGTGCCATACTCGTGGGTCTCCCTGGTCCACGTCAAGACTGAATATTATAAAGGTATTTGTCCTCTATATTTTGTACTTTCCGGTTGTTTACTCGTAGAATTGAGTATTGAGTATTGAATACGACCGGCCCCCACTCTCGCTGTCTCTTACTTTATCAGACCTCGCCAACCCATCTGGCCAGATTGTAGACCCAATTCTCCATTTGCCTCTAGTAAATTAGAAAGGGGTCGTCTTCTTGCAGCGAAGACTATATGATGATACTTTGTAGGTACACAAAACTTCACTGATTCTCAAAGCGTTAGGCGAGCATGAGACTTCTTATGATCCAAAGACTAGCATAAACCTGAGGTGGAATTGTGTAAAGCAATCGTTATCATTTGACAGTTCATAACGCACGATTATTCTGTCAAACGCTTTGTTTAACTGATTTTATCGTACGTAATGAACTGTCTAATGATTACGATTGCTTTACACAATTCCACCTCTTGTCCAATTTGCTTTGCTAGCCTTGAACTATCCTGCAAGTGTTCAAAATTTATGTAGAAGTTTTCTGGAGTGACTATGTTACTTGCGTGGGTAGATAAGAGGACGATCAGCATTATGTAGCTCAATGGTAACTTATATTTTTCTTATTATTCCAGCGCTAGCGCACCAATACTGTGCAACTGGTTTGCTGAACGCGCCATCTGGTGTCAGGGCGCGGGAACGGCTCGCGGCTCTATACTCGCCAGGCGGGGATAGAAACGTCGACAACGGTGAGTGAAAACTAACGCTGAGTTGCACCACCTAACTTTGACCGTAACTATAACGATGACCGGTGTTTTTATATGGATTATGACATATAATTGACCTTTGTTAAGGTTAAAGTAAGATGGTGGAACCCAGCCTAATAATATATTAAACAAAAGATTCAAGACAAAACACCCGACATTTCTTTGTAGGCGCCGAAATCAAATGTCGGGTGTTTTGCAAATTTTGAAAAAAATCGTTTCGGATCTCGCTCGCCGATTGGCGCAGTTACACTATGCGCGAACTTGATAGAAAATTGCGCGAAGACGCGCCCAAAAGTACGGGCAACGCACGGCAAAACGAACTGAACGTGTTTACACTATCTGATTCGATCAAGTTCGCGCAAAGTGTAACTACGCCATAGGAGTAAGTATAACGCTATTTTACCGCTATCCACATTAATTGTCGGTTGTCGGGGCGATTATCGCAAATTCAAATTCAAATTATAATATTTTGCGAAAATGGATTTACATCAGTAGGTGTTACAATTCAACAAGAGATTCGTCGACGTCCATCGTGTATAGTCGCTTCCCATATAGTGAAAATGGCACCAACCAGCTCGTCTGGACTGGGGTGAACAGAACCGCCGACGCCTGGTTAAGATCCGGGCCCGTCACCTGACAAGTATGAACAAGCTCTTAGGGCTCAAACCATAGAAATACTATGCTTTCTTCTAGGCTGGTTGTAATATTTATTTCATAATTTCAGGCTCAGCCAACCCTCCCTCGCTGAAGGACCAGGAGTTGGACTACATGGCGCTGGGACGAGCTCACCTGGTGGAGGCACTGGCCTTGTACGAGGAAGCGCTGAGACTTCAAAGGATGTGCAGGTAACTCAATACTATCCATCTGTTACCCACTTTACAATGAATAGATGTGAAATTTTCATAATTTTTCGTGCATTCGTCTCATTTTCGCTTTCGTTTAACTTTCTCCTGCGATGATGAGATACTGGCGACAGTGGAGTTGCAGTCGTTTAAAATTAATCTGGGGGCACGGCAGTGCCCCCACCAAGTCGAGCAAAAAAGCGGCACGGCCGTACCATCCTTTTCTCGAAGCAATTCAGGCCATTTTCGACCGCCTGTAACTTCGTTGTGGATAAAACTAGAAGGCTGAATTTTCATTAGCTATGCAGGAATTGTAAAGACACGGTATATTTAAAATTTCATTCAATTTGAACCAGTAGTTTAAGAATTATAACGGGTCAAAGTTACTTAATTTTGTCACTCACTGACTATCCCATCAAAAACAATACTTGTCAAAAAAACCAAGTCTCGCAACTCAGTTGTTCTACGGTAAAAAGTTGTGAGATCCATGTAATACCAAGTCCAGGCCAGGAAATCTTTAACGTTTTACAAAATATATTGACTTGGCCATCGCATGAAAACACGTGTAAATTAAATTATTTAGTGCGATGGCCAAGTCAATAATTTATGTAAAACGTTAAAGATTTCCTGGCCTGGACTTGGTATTACATGGATCTCACAACTTTTTACCGTAGAACAACTGAGTTGCGAGACTTGGTTTTTTTGACAAGTATTGTTTTTGATGGGATTTATATTTAGCAAAACCTTTAGTTTCTTAGGCTGAGTTAAGTACACCACCTTATTTAACCGATTGAGTCCCAGACGGCATTAATTAATGTCATAACAATTGATTATCTATTGTGTCTAGATTCGCGGAGCTTGAAGGATTAAACCGTAACAATAACATTATCCGATGCTTTTTGTTTGGAGTTTCGACATATTTTTGACGTTTGTCAAAGTTAAAATAAGATGGTGCAACTCAACCTAACTGTGACTTCCTGTCTCGTTATGATAAGGTGTTGATTTTGCAACATAAATATATGTATTGTCTGATGTGGTGTTGACTACTCATTATGGGAGCAATAAACTTATTGAATTTACTAGTGAAAACCAAACTCAACTGTTCTTTTGGTAAAGCCCTATAGTACGTTTTCCGAGTTTGAGCGGGGCACATAGCTCATAGAGATAATGGCCGTTGGTGCAGTAAAGTTCTCGAGTGGCGACCATGGGCCGGAAGACGTAGCGTGGGCAGGCCTCCCACTAGGTGGACCGACGATCTGGTGAAGGTCGCGGGAAGAACCTGGATGCGGGCAACGCAGGACCGGTCGTTATGGAAATCCTTGGGGGAGGCCTTTTGTCCAGGACGTTATTTGGCTGAAATGAACGAACGTAATTATGTTGCTGTCGCGCTCGCACACTCACTGTGGGCGCCCGTCGCACAGTCGCGACAGCAATATAATTACGCGCGAGCGATAAGGATGGGTAGCTTGGGGTCATTGGTCAAAATTCTACGTGCTCACGGACCAGGCTTTAGTATGTTTGCACTCAGACAACTCCGTTCTTTGGTAAAGTTTTCTCTTGTATTTGCAGGGAGCTCCGCGGCAAAGAGGCGTTATCACGAGCGGTGCGGGCGGCGTTGGAACGCGCGGCGGCGGCGCGGGCGCTGGACGGCCGCGAGCCAGACTTCGCGGAGCTCATCGACGCGCCGCACATACTCCGTAAGTGTATGAGGATAGAGTCGCTATTTGAATGACCAGCATAGTCTTCTTCACGGAGATATTGACGCGCCGCACTGCGTTAGTACCCTTATTCGTATGAGAATAGAGTCGCTATTTACATAACCAAAGAGTTGAAACGCGCGGCGGCGGCGCGGGCGCTAGATGGTCGCGAGCCAGACTTTGCCGAGCTCATCGACGCGCCGCACATACTGCGTAAGTGTACCTTATGTGTATGGGGATAGAGTCGCTACTTCAACAGCTACGAGTCTGACGTTGTCGACCTCACGCTGCGTTCGGCTATATGAATCTGGGAATAGAGTCGCTATTTGAATGACTGAGTGCGAAGTGGCTGCGCGGGCGCTGGACTGCCACGAGCCAGATTTTACTAAGCTGATCGACGCGCTGCACATACTGCGTTAGTGTTTATGATCCTTATGTGTATGGAAATAGAGTCGCTATTTGAATGATCAACTTTAACCTCGTTGGGATGTCAGACGCGCCGCAATGAATTAGTACCCTTATGTGAAAGAGGATGGAGTCGCTATTTAAATGACCAACTGTCTTTGCTGAGATTTCTGACGCGCTTCAGTGATTTAGTACCCTTATGCGTATGAGGATAGAGTCGTTATTTGAATGACCGGTATAGTCTTCTTCACGAAGATTTTGAATCGTCGGAATAATGCGTTCTACCTTAACCTTATGTATAAGAGGATAAAGTCGCTATTTGAATGACCGCCTTCTCTAACTGACCGACAATCCTCGATTATTTGTAAATAGTGTCGATCACCTCAATAAATATGGCAGGGAATGAAATCAGTGGGCCTATAAAAAGTAACAGTCGCGACAGTTTTAATTTCAAAATCGCTTCACAAGAGCGCTATAACTACATCTTACAAATATAACGCCAGAGCCAAATGATGTCTAAATCACAAGTTCTGTCACTTTTTTAACTTTGTCCAGTACTCTTAATTAACCACAACATTATTATATTGTTTTAAGACTGCGAAAGAGGGTAGATCGACATCATTTGTACTAAGCATTGCTGTGGCGAGGTAGTATGTAGTAACTCTGGTGCAAAGGCTCACTAATTTTTTAAATTGTTTTTTTCCTGTGGGAACCTATAAGTGGTTTACTTGTTGCCTATCTTATGTCATTATTACACACTGTAAAACCCTTGTTTTCCTGAATAAATAAATGTCTTCCCGCCAGTTTCCACAGTTGTCATGGCGCTTGCAACAGTGCCGAAATATCAGAAACTCATAATTAAGGTACTAGCAATCCCGTCAATAATTACAACATTATTAATTTCCTCCACAGCATCATCGAAGTTCCAGCTAGCACTCACTCCTCCGGACTTCGCCCAGCACCGCGTGGACGAGCTGTTCCGGCCGCTCGGGCCCATCGCGGTGTTCTCGGCCAAGCGGCACTGGAGCGCGCCGCGGCTGCTGCAGCTGCAGAAGCAGGACAGGCGAGGTAACTAAAGCCCGGTCTGTAAGCACGTAGATTTTTGTCCAATGACCCCAAGCTACCCATCCTTCCTCGGGACTGTGCGACGGGCGCCCGCAGTGAGTGTGCGAGCGCGACAGCAACATAATTACGCGCGAGCGATAAGGATGGGTACCTTGGGGTCATTGGACAAAATTCTTACCAGGACCAGACTTTACAACACTCATACATTTACCGCAATCATCCATCTACTCTCATACAATGGGGTGTTTGTACCGCTAACAGTAGTAGACGAGCTACACTCATACAGTGTAGGTAATACTCCCTGGTAGTCCCAACTCCAGAAGCAAGGTAAGCGAGGTAACCATACTAAAAACACTCATCTAAACTCTATAGTGGCGTAGCTAGCGCTCACACATCCTGACTGCGCTCACCTCTCCCGACTGCGTTCACCCTTCCCGACAGCGTTCACCTCGACTGCGTTCACCCGGACTGCGTTCACCCCGACTGCGCTCACTCCTTCGACTGCGTTCACCCTCCTGACTGCGTTCACCCCTCCCGACTGCGTTCACCTTTCAAAACGCTCGGGCCCATCGCGGTGTTCTCGGCCAAGCGGCACTGGAGCGCGCCGCGGCTGCTGCAGCTGCAGAAGCAGGACAAGCGAGGTAACTACAACACGCAGGTAACAGAAGCAGGACAAGCGAGGTAACTACAACACGCAGGTAACAGAAGCAGGACAAGCGAGGTAACCACAACACGCAGGTAACAGAAGCAGGACAAGCGAGGTAACCACAACACGCAGGTAACAGAAGCAGGACAAGCGAGGTAACTACAACACGCAGGTAACAGAAGCAGGACAAGCGAGGTAACCACAACACTTAGCTAACAGAAGCAGGACAAGCGAGGTAACCATACTAAAAACACTCATCTACGCTCAATTGTAGCGTTCACCCCCGACTGCGTTCACCGGACTGCGTCACCGGACTGCGTTCAAACGATTGCGTTCACCCGACTGCGTTCACATCTCCCGACTGCGTTCACCTTTACTGATTTCATTCACCCCTCCCCACTGCGTTCACCTTTCTCGACTGCGTTAACCCCTCACGACTGCGTTCACTCCTCTCGACTGCATTCACCCCTGCCGACTGCGTTCACTCCCGACTGCGTTCGCTCCCTACTGCGTTCACCCCCTTAATGCGTTCGCTCCCGACTGCGCTCATCCCTGCCGACTGCGTTCACTCCCGACTGTATTCACTCCCGACTGCGTTCACCCCTGCCGACTGCGTTCACACCTCCCGACTGCACTCACCCCTCCCGACTGCACTCACCCCTCCCGACTGCACTCACCCCTCCCGACTGCACTCACCCCTCCCGACTGCACTCACCCCTCCCGACTGCACTCACTCCTCCCGACTTCGCCCAGCACCTAGTGGACGACCTGTTCAAAAGCAAGATAAGCGAGGTAACCATACTAAAAACACTCATCTAAGTGCTGCAACTCCTGTGTAGCCAGGATCTACAGCTTGACCGCGATAATTAGGTTGTAATGTAACACGACTTTACTCATGGTACTCGTGACTAAAAAGAAACATTTATTACGATGAACATCACTTAATTATGAATAATATTACAAGGAAAAAAAAGTGAACTGAGCAGTTCCACCCTGTCGCAACAGCGATGCCCATCGCAATTGGACCACAGTATTTAAATGTATTTACTGTGATGGGACCGTACTCAGCATATGCCGTGGCCCTCGGCGAGGAAGGCCACGACGCTGGTTTTCAGTGTGCCCCATGCCGATGATGCCGAGTGGATTTTTGACTTCATAAAACATCGTGAAATGTCTTTGTATTTTTTACATAAACTTTTAATTTCATAATTTCAGGATCCAGAAGAATACGGAACGGCCGAGACGAATACACAGAAGACAAATCAAGAAAGAGCGAGAAACGGGATAGATCAGAAGACAATAGCACGTACTACAACCAAATAATCAGAAGCGACGAGAAATACACAGAAGAATACGACAAGAAGAAACTGCACAGGGTGATGAAGCAAAACGGGGTTTATATCAACAGTTACAATAACAATAATAATTACGAGTACCATCCGAAAGTGCTGGATTACGAGTCCAATTCGTATAGAAATAAGGTGAATGATACCTTCGTTAAGGAGAACGGTGTGAAGAATGGCGATGTTAATGGCAAGGTATTTATTTCCATTTTTTACGTTCTTTTGTTTGACTATAATGTTAAAATTTTCTTTTTAATTACACTTTTTTAAGTGTATTCCTATAACCTCCCATTGCTGTGTAGAGTACATTTTTCCGCCCTTAAAATAAATAGAGAATTTGACCTGCACTCCCCATAACTTAATTATTAGGTAATTTAGTCTTGACGGTCCGCGATCCTCTTAATTTTACAAGTTGCAAATGAAGGATTTGGCCTGCATTAGACAGACGTGTAGACGGTTTGAGGAGAGTCTTCAATTCTTTAACACCTCAGCTACACTACTCGCGAAGTTGGCCGAAGTAAGATAGTGTAGGTAGACACGCATTTCACTTCGCCTCGAGCAAACTCAACATCCGATAACCGATTGCTGTCGGTATTGCGCCCGAGTCAAAGGGCTTGAAACGTTTCCCAGTGTGAACACGAATTGTTTGACTTCATTACTCTCGGCTAACCAGTGTTGCCAGTCCGGTCTTGTCAGAAATTACCAGAAAAATAAAAAAATGTAAAGTTTTTTAAAAAAAAGTAACCTTCATTTGGGGGGTGCGGAGCGATTGTGTAAGGTAGTTCATGGGATGGATCGTTTACCTAAAATTTTTCGACCATTCCAATCATGAAGACCGAAAAGTGACCGGTCGTATAAAACCGTTTCATGGATTTGCGTTTCATTATCGAAAAACATTCGCTAAAACTCATTGTCTTTAACAAATAATAAATTACATTCATGTTTAAATGCAGTTAATGACATAATTTTTAAACTGTCACTATTAATATTTTTTACTGAATAACCTGCAAAAGTTAATTCTACAATTTCTGAAAAATCACCTAAAAGTAACCTTTTCATTAGTGTAACCTAAAAGTAACCAATGCAGTTCAAAAGTAACCTAAAAGGTTACAAAAGTAACCTTCTGGCAACACTGCGGCTAACTTCAATACTTTTCGTATAATACCTATCTCTTTCCAGCCTACCAAAAATGGGAGGGAGAGGCGAAAAGGCGACCTGCGTCGGGTGGCCAGCGAATACAACGTGTCGAACTCGAAGACGGATGACGAAGGCTTCGGATTCTCAGTGAGGGGCGACGCGCCCGTCGTCATAGCAGCCGTGGAGCCCAACTCTTTGGCTGATGTAAGCTGACGTTATTTTCAAAGAATATAATAAATAAAATATCTATGTAGGTATATGGCACAAAAAGAAAAGTTGCAAAACTAACAAATTATAAAATCGAAAGGAAATCGTAATCATTTATTTAATTAATAAGACAACCGACAAGACATACATTAAAATCATATTTACAACGTTTTTTAACTTAATCTATGTGTAAGCATCATTCTTCACTGGGTGACTTGTATCCTTGTAAGGGATTATAGAAGAAAGAAAGAAAAAATGTTTTTTGGCACTAAATTACAACAACAAGTAATTTGCAACCATGATTGTATCAGTAGGTATATGCCTAGCCAAAAGTCAACCATCAACGAGATATTTTGAATGTAATTTTGTATGGAAAAATTATGGAGACAACTTTAATTTATTCAAATAACACTTATAAAGTACTTTTATTTGACTCCTTTATAATTCAGTACTCCTGATATTTAAATACTTGCTAATTATAGACTTAAAACTAATTCGTTCCAGATTGGGGGCATGCGAGAAGGCGACTTCATAATCTCCATAGGCGAAAAGGACGTCAAGTGGAGCTCCCATGAAGAGGTGGTGCGACTCATACAGCAGGCTGGAGACACCCTCACCATGCGGCTCGCGACGCCCATGGATAAGAGCTTGTTGAAGGTAACTCATCATCACCATAAGAGTAGGCGCACACCGTTGATTTTTCGTCGGCCGATAGTTTAGTCGGGCAGTTGATCAGTATGGGCATGTATGGGAGTGCGCACACTACGCCGATTCGATTTGGCCGATTCTTCATACAATTTGAAATCGGGCACAACTATCGGCCAACTAAAAATCAACGGTATGCGCCTACTCTAAATCTACAGGGTGTTGATTTCAATACTCGCCATATTGATTAAGTAGCTTATTCTGATCATGAATCAGTAAAAAAATTGACTTCGAAAAAAATTAAAATGAACTTTAACTTTAGGTAGTCAAAGAAAAATACTTATTTACACTACCTACTTTACGTGGCTTTCAGTAGGCTATCCGATATGATAAGCGAGCGATCCACCTAGCTCGATGGTGCCGCAGTGTAAACTATTGCAGTTTTGCGAGTCACAGTACAGTTGATTTTGCACGGAAAATATTCGCTAAAAATTCCACATTCGTTTGTAATTTTTTTTTTTTGGTGTATAATGCGCAGTGGCGGGGCAACAACTAAATTTGATGATGTGCGTTCCCTTCGAGAGGCCACTGTGGAAAACGAAGGTTTCGTATACATAAAGATTTAGCAGGACCTCTAAAACAAATGTAGCCAGAATGATAAATTTGTAGGTGTTGTAAGTTGGACGCTACAACCTGCCGAATGTGGTCCCTCAGATGAACTATGTCAAATGCCAAATTACTGAATCTGACCAAATAAGATGAGTTTGATGAATGGTAATATTTAGAAGGTAAATCGTAGGGCTACATACGAAAATAAGAGCTCTGGATAGTTACTGCAAATAAAGAAAATCCAATTAGACGATGGGCCCTCAGTTCTCCAGTGCACAAATTTTACTTTAATGCTACAAATTGGAACTTAAGACTAAGTTTCTTTGGTAAGGTTTTAATTTTAGCAGAAGTAGCCACAATGCTACCCTGAGAGTACAGGGTTTATATATTCTACTAGTACAGAATAAAAGCTCTAGTAAAGTGAGCCCTCGGGCCACACGTTTAAAGTGCCATTAATGTAGTGAGAGATGTGATTGAGATACACAAGGCAGGAGGGTTCGAAATACGTAATTGGACGAGCAACAGCAGCGCCGTGCTAGACAGCATTCCAAAAGAGGCTTTAGGTCCAGTGGCTGTCAAGTTCAAAATAGACGAACAGTTGCAAGGAGAGCGTATTCTTGGCCTAATGTGGTACCCGAAGGAAGACGAACTCGGTTTTGATGTCTCTTTGAAACGGATTCCTGAGAGTGTCATTCATGGTAAAGACAAACCTACAAAACGTTTGATGTTGCGTGTCATAATGTCTGTGTTTGATGTTTTAGGATTTTTGTCGCCCTTCACTATACAAGGAAGAATTATGCTGCAGGATACTTGGAGGATAAACGTCGGTTGGGATGATTTGATACCCGATGACATTTACACAAGATGGTGCCAATGGATCGACATGCTGAAGGTAATTAATCAGATTCGTATCCCAAGATGCTACGTAAATGTCCACCGAACGACCGACGACAGTATGGACCCTAGTACTGAAGCTCCTGTAGCAAAAATGTCATTGGTGGAGAGCCCTATACCGAATCACTGCCAAACAGACACACCAACTTTCGTAGAGGCCGGAGGAAATAGTGCTGCGAATGGGAAAAACTTCAGCGACCTTCAACTTCATGTTTTTAGCGATGCCTCTACAAAAGCTATGAGCGCGGTTGCGTATTGGCGTTGGAATGATGGTGATAAAATTCGTGTTGCATTTTCAGCCAGTAAATGTCGTGTACTGCCGGTTAAGCCGATGACTGTGCCACGAGCTGAACTCCAAGCTGCTGTCCTGGCCGCAAGATTGGCGGACACGATTGGGAAGGAGCACCGACTTGTTCCTGAACGGCGCTTCTTTTGGTCGGATTCAACCACAGTCATCCATTGGATTAGAAATAGCACACGGAAATATAAAGTTTTTGAAGCGAACCGACTGGGTGAAATTGATGAGCTTACTCGTGTGAGTGAGTGGCGACATGTTCCAACCAAAATGAACATAGCAGATTTGGCTACAAGAGATTCATTCAACTTAGACTGTTTTCGCGGCGAATGGTTTACGGGGCCTTCTTTCCTGTACGACGTCGAAACGTCATGGCCCGCAGGTATGGTTCAACCTGAAATAGAACAAATGCAGTCGGGTTACGTCATGGTTATGGAAAATTCACTTGAAGCCTTACCTGTGCCTGACCCGCATCGCTTTTCGTCCTGGCTTCGCCTGGTGAGGGCTACGGCGGTCGCACTCAAGTTTATTGACAAGTGCAGAGGACTTACCGGTGATGTAAATTGCGATACGATGCGACGAGCGGAATCTCTGTTGATAAAACAGGCGCAGATGGACTCCTTTAGCGATGAGATCACGGCATTAAGGAATGGAAAATGTGTAGATCGCAGTAGCCGGTTACTTACCTTAACTCCCTTTGAAGATGAGCAGGGTTTGCTTCGAGTTGGAGGTCGCATTGACGCAGCAGAAGACGTTAATCTTGAGATGAAAAGGCCCGTCATACTGGATGGAAGACACAGAGTGGCACGCCTCATTGTGAGGCACCATCACGTCAAGGCCGCTCATGGGAATCAAGAAACCGTCGTCAATGAGTTAAAGCAGAAATATTGGATTATTAACTTAAGACCTACCGTGAAAACTGTGGTGTCGCAGTGTATGTTGTGCAGAATAAGAAAATGCACTCCACGAATTCCACGTATGGGAGATTTGCCGCATGCTCGGTTGGCGCACCATAATCGTCCATTTACTTACTGCGGCCTAGACCTTTTCGGGCCCATGGAAGTAGCTGTAGGAAGGCGACGCGAGAAAAGGTATGGCGTGTTATTTACCTGCTTAACCGTTCGTGCAGTGAACATAGAAATAGTCCCATCGCTGTCTACAGACTCCCTAATAATGGCTCTAAGAAGAATGGCAGCCCGTCGTGGATGGCCTAGTCACCTGTTTTCAGATAACGGGACTAACCTTCGCGGCGCTGAAAAGGAACTGGCCAGAAGCATTGCCGGCTTAGACCAAGAAGCTCTGAAAAGGGAGGGAGTTAACAACAACATGACTTGGCATTTTATACCTCCGGCTAGCCCCCACTGGGGTGGGGCATGGGAGCGTTTGATCAGAACTGTAAAAACGTCGCTTAAAATTGTAATTGGAGAGAGAACCCTAAAAGAGGAAACGCTATCGACGTTAATGGCGGAGGTGGAGAACATGGTCAATAGTCGCCCATTGTCGCATGTGTCAGTAGATCCGACAACGGGAGAGTCGTTAACGCCGAATCATTTTCTTTTAGGAAGCTCTTCAAATCTGCCTTGTATCGGGGAATTTGATGACACCGACTTGCATCTGAGAAAGCAGTGGCGGAAGGCGCAACGCTTAGCAGACATGTTCTGGAAAAGATGGGTGCGAGAAGTTTTGCCAGACATGCTGCCACGGAAAAAATGGAACTCAGAGCAGGTGCCGTTGCAGGTGGGTGACTTGGTGTTAGTTGTGGACCCAAGTTCTACTCGTAATACATGGCCTAAAGGGATTATTCATCGGGTCTATCCTGGAAAGGACGGACGCATCAGAACCGTGGACGTCAAAACTAAGACCGGAATTTGGCGTAGGTCAGCGGCGCGCGTCGCCCCAATATCCTTGGATAGTGAGTGCTGTTCCAGCACTAGGGTGGGGAGTGTTGCCGATGCATAAAACCTCCGTAGAGGTTTTTCTCTTAGGTTTGATTTTCATTAAAAAACTTGGTTTGACGTCTGTGTCAGTGGAAAAGTACTCCGTGCAAAAGCTGGTGGTTTACAATCGGCAACAAAATAATCCTATTGTATAACCTATTTTCTTCAACAGTGGGACCTAGTTTGCAACCAAGACTTCCTGCCAACACTTGGCTTAGTTCTCCTGGCTGCCGGCGGAATCATAGGAAACTACATCTTCGGCTACCTCCAGGACACCATCGGAAGGAAGCCCTCCTTCTTCATTTATCTTCTCATCGAGTGCATCTTCGGGGTGGCCACTGCATTTGCCCAAAACTACATAGTGTGGATCATTTATAGAATCGGAGTTGGTTTCACCGTGCCAGCTATAATGGCAACGCCTTATGTTTTGGGTTCGTTGTTGAAGACTTCATAATTGCTTCTATCTATTCTGACTTATCTATCTAGTTATCTTAAGTTTCAATTTGTGCATTGCAGCTATTGAACTTGTGGGACCTCGTTGCCGGACTCTCTGCACAATACTTTCCAACATCGCTTATTCGCTGGGTCTTATCATGCTGGCTGGTGTGGTCTACCTCATACGGGACTGGAGGCATCTAGCGTTAGCTACCACGCTGCCGTTCGTCTGCTTCTTCTTATATCTTTGGCCCATGCCAGAGAGCCCCCGATGGCTGCTAGCCAGAGGGCAGTTTGAGAAGGCTGAAGCTATTTTGAAGAATATGGCAAGGTAGAATACGAACATACCCCAAGACTAAGTCTAACATGATGCATTGAAAATCATTTTACTTTGCAGAATAGAAGCATTGAAAATCATTTTACTTTGCAGAATTAATGGCAAGTCCCTTCCTGCGAACTACATGGTCCATTTGCGTCGTAAATACGAGTCCGACAAACTCAAACAGGACATTGAAAGGGAGAAGTCCCGAAAATACGGCATTCTAGACCTCTTCAGAACTCCCAACTTGAGGAAGAAAACCATTATTATAACGTTCATCTGGTTCACGAATACCAGTGTTTATGTGGGCTTATCGTACTATGCCCCTGTGCTGGGAGGTGATGAGTTCTTGAACTTCTTTTTGGCTGGCGTGGTCGAGCTGCCGACTTATTTGTTCTTATGGCCGTCTATGGAGAGGCTTGGAAGACGTTGGACTCTATGTATGAGCATGGTAGTTGGAGGTGTGGCCTGTTTGACCACCTTTCTGGTACAACATGGTGAGTGAATATAAGTTGACATTGCTGATTGCAGTAACCAACACCCAAAATCGTTATCTAATGGTTAGCTCGTGAACTTTTATCTACTTACTTTAGGTATGTAAGCGTATACCTCCCTTATTTAGTTAAATGATTTGAGATCCAACAAAGGAATATGGCTCCTGACAGATCTTGTTTAACTTCATAAACATCTGTTTAAGAAGTTAAACAAGATCGTGGTTAAAGCACTTCTCAAAGGTAAAATGAAGAATTTATTTGGTAAAAACATTCCAGAAACTTACGTGACCCTGGCGTTGTACTGCGTGGGTAAGATGGGCATATCGTCTTCGTTCGTGGTCCTCCCCCTGATGGCTTCAGAACTGTACCCCACCGTGGTAAGGGGTCTAGGCATGAGCCTCAGTTCTGTGCTCGGTATGCTGGGGCCTATCTTCATACCACTAGTCAACTACCTGGTGAGTAGTGATAGGAATCCTTGCATTCTTTCGTGAGGTTTCTCCTGCCTAAGTACTTGTGCTTCATAATAGGTACTTACATACGAGTTTAAGTAAAAAACTTCTCGATGCTTCTTCTCAGCACTGGTCCGCTTTAATGTATCATCAAAACCTAAGTCAAAATCATTACATACTTATGATACATTCATTTCATAGGTAAGTAAATAACTACCGACCCTTTTCCCCAGGGTTCTGACATCATGGTGCTCCCGCTGATCATCATGGGCGCCCTGCTAGTGGCTGGAGGCATTGCTAGCTTACTCCTTCCAGAGACCTTAAACCAGCATCTACCTCAAACACTGGAAGATGGAGAGCGAATGGGCCTCGACACCGATTTCTGCTGCAACCCACCAGTCAAGGAGACGAGGCAGAACAGTTTAGAATCCAAAGACATACAGTTTGACCAGCATTGCTCTGCGTGTAACACACTGTGCTCTTGTCAGCTAGTGAGCGTACCGTTAGTGGAAAATGTATCCGCGATCATTGAAAAGGACAGCGAAAAAGTGGAGTTTATCATTGTGAAATAAAATCGTATTTAACATGAATCACTTTTTTATTCTATTTATCAGTTTATAATGTTTTAATTAACGAAATCAATAGCAATTTAAGTCCATGAGGAGGATTCGATTGAATTGTTAATTTGGTGTTTCTTTTTCTACATAATATTATCGCATGCAAACTGCCTACAAAAAACTTAATCATCACAAACAGATTGACTGTTTGCATTAAACAGTGAATAAATCATCAGAAACAATCAGAGAGAGTTGCATTAAGCTAAGCAGTGAACAAATCGAGGTTTTTTTTTTAAATCGTAAAACCAAATCGATTTTTACAGAGTCCACCAGAATCATAGACACAAAAATGTTTTTTTTTCTACAATAGACATGATAGTGACAGCTGTCAAAACTGTCATGCACTTGTCATTATCATATGTGTTGGGCTGGTGCGGGCGGATTATGAAATAAATATCCTCGAAAAATATTATTTTTAACTTAATTTAATAATGGCTTTGTCGTTCCTCCGCCCTAATGTAATCGCACGTCATGTGAAGAAGCAGTTTTATCAGAACAAACGAAATGCGGGTTATGTTGTCCTGTAAGTATCATCGATTTTCACATTTCTTCCTTCTACTCTTTTGCTTTACTTGTTTGATAAAATAAAAATTAACCCATACCTCACCTATGTTTAAAACTTTAAACACAACAGTGTTCATGATATAGTTTCAGAAATATAATTTGTAATTTAAAAATTCCTAAAAAAGTCTGTAATCCTGAAATCATAATCAGATAAGTGTGGTTATATTTTTAATTGTTTTATAAATTTTAGGTAAAAGGCAGTTATTTGAAAAATATATTTTTCCTTACATTGGACTGCATACTTACACATTGCACAACAATAATGTTTATTTCTTCAACATTATTTATTTTTAAAACAATCTCTGTATTAAATTTAATACTTATTTATTTTCTAGAACACTCAATAATTTAATGCAATTGAACTTTTCAGGATTCCCGAAATTGGCGAAGACGCCGATAAGAACATACTGCTTTCAGAAAATGGAATCCCAGAGTTTAACGATATAACCATTGAGAAATGCATCGCTGCTATCAGCAAACAAAGCTTGGATTACGAAAATGGAGTGAAACAAATTGAGCAATCGACTCCAAACTGCAAAAATGCATTTGTAGAAATATTCCAGCCTTTAGAAAAACTTGACGCACAGCTGGAACTAACATGGGGAATGGCAAAAACATTATATCTGGGTAACAGTTCGCTTATGCCCACAAAATCATACATCCAAATTCATGAAAGAGCACACAAAGCCAGATCAGCTAAGTTTAATAGTGTAGCCATTTTCCAAGCCGCTGTGCAAGAGAAAAACCGCTTGAAGAAACTTACAGACGAAGAACAGAGGCTCTTAGACAAATATGTTCTAGAAGGTAAACTCAATGGTTTAGACATCAAAGGCGCCAAAAGGGAACGCTTAAATAACCTCCTCTCATCGTTACAGAAAGAGAGAAACATGTTTAGAGATAAAGTTAATATTGCAAACAAGGTTTTTGCAAGCACAATCGAAGATGGGTCCATTTTACGGGAGTTCCCTGAAAGTCTGGTTAACGCCATGTCTGTTGGCAGTGATCCTTACAAAGGACCCTGGAAAGTAACGTTGCAACCTCATATTTATGAACCGTTCATGCAATACTGTCCTGATAGAGAACTCCGTTGGAACACTTGGCAGGCCTATGTACAGCGGTGCTCCAATTACGTCAACAAAGAAATAGAGACAAGTTCAAACTTAGAGAAGATCCGCAGTCTCCGTCATGAGCAGGCCAATATTCTAGGATTCGATTCATTTGTTGATATGAGCATGGAAACCAAAATGGCAGGAACAGTAGACAATGTTTATAACGTCCTGGACAGTTTATTAGAATGCGCAAAGCCAATGCAGGAAGTGGAAATTGAACTGTTACAGAGATTTGCTAAAGAAAGAGGATTTGATTCAAAATTAGCCCATTGGGATATTCCTTACTGGCAAAGGAAGCAAAAGTGGTCAATGTATAACTTCGATGAGGACAAAATTCGCGAATACTTCCCACTTCCAAGAGTCATCACCAGCCTCTTTAACCTTTGCAGCACTTTGTTCAAAATCCAAATTGTTGAAAGAACAAATGTGCAGACTTGGCACAAAGATGTTAAGTTTTATGACGTGTTTGACAGTTCCAGTAATTCACCTGTGGCTGGGTTTTACCTAGACCCCTACGCGCGTCAGGATGAGAAGATCCGTATCCATGACGATGCTGGCTGGCACATATCGATCCGGAATAAGTCTTCTGTAACAGGCACTACTCCTCTGTCAGCATTGATATTCAACTTCCAGGCCCCAACAAAGGGTACCCAGTCGTTACTGACCTTCAAAGAGGTTGGAATACTGTTCCAAAGGTTTGGACACTCCCTGCGCCACTTACTCACCAAAGCAAACTACTCGGAAGTTGCAGGGTTGTCGAACGTGGAATGGGATGCGGCTGAAGTCTGTGGACAAGTTATGACACATTGGCTGTACGATCCCCACACGATTCATGCGATCAGCGGACACTACAAAACAGACGAGCCACTGCCAGACGAAATCGTTAAGAACCTTCAGAACGTGAGAGGCCACATGTCAGGTTACAACTTGTGTAGCGAACTGTACCTTTCCAAGTTAGACTTGGAGTTGCATTCGAAGAAGACTTTCTGGCGGGATTTGGTCAGAGACCTGTGGCCGCAGTATCACGTGTTGCCGTTCGACAAGTACAACTCGCACCCGTTGTCGTTCACGAAAATATTTTCGGAGGAGTGGGGTGCCGCTTATTACTGCCACTTGTGGTCGAAGATGATTGCGGCGGACATTTACAGTGCATTTGAGGAAGCGAAGCAAGGCGGGGCGGACGTGGTTAGCGTGGGCAAGCGGTACCGGGACACTTTTCTGGCTTACGGAGGCAGTTGTCACCCTAGCGAGGTGTTCCGAAGGTTCCGCGGCCGCGACCCCTCGCCACACGCGCTCCTCAACAACCTCGGCTTGTCCAAGAAGATAGTTGAAGAATGATACCTTAATTAAATACCTGTACTGTACTGTAATATTATTCCGATATAAATTATAATGTTTCTGTTATAGTTTCGCTGGTGTGTTGATTTTGTGACTCAAAAAGTAATGTTGAAGAACCACAATTCGGATTGAACTTTATTTTCAAATTAGTACTAATCAAATTTTTTTTTATATTTCGATACGATCTCTATTGCAAGAATTGATTAGATCACTTTTCGTTCTAGAATTAGAATTTGCAGATACAGTAAAAATAAATCCAAAATTCTTCTTTTTTCAGCAATTAAATGAAATAAAAGTCTAATAGCAATTACATTTATTTTGAACAACTATTAACTTAATAGTAATAACAAGTCTAGACTCAAACTAAAAAATATGACCGTCTGTCATAAAAAATATGACCGATCAGTCTGCCACTCATTCTCGATTTTCTAGAAGTTTTGAAAGGCATTCTCCAAAATTAATTAATAAGTCAATGCCTGAAGCATTTCTTCTTCGGCAAATGAGCCGAATAATGGTGGATATTATGTCTGTCTGGTTGTGTCGTCGTACCGCATCAGAACGTAATATGTTTCTTACACGTCAGACATACTACTATACAATCATCCGAGTTTTATCATTAATCCGAGTCTGGATTCTGCTCCCACGCGCGTTCCATGTCGTACACGTCCTTCTTTATCTTCTCATCATCGGGCAGCAGCTTGGAAGCGGCCTTCATCTCATCAATAGCTTTGTTGAGCCAACCGACGCGCGCCAGCGCCGCCGCGCGCCTCGCGATGCACTTGGCGCGGCTGCGGCGATTGCCCTCGCATGCTGGCTTCATCAAATCCAGTGCTGTCGAGCAGTCGTTTATCTGGAGAATACAAAAATTCATTTCACTTTAAACAAAACGGGAAAACCGCGTATGATAAGGTTGCGGTGCAATGTTTGCTTTGGAGATTTCGGAAGAAAATTACGTTAATTTGTGCGATTGTAGTAAAATACCTGCCTTGTTATTATACTTACACAAAAAAAATTTTGCTCCTGGACTCTCTGACGATTTCTTACCAGTCCAAAATGAGCAATTTCGAGTAAAACCAGAGAAGTCTTCTTTACTCTACAACGTTAATAAAACAAAGTCCTCCGCCGTAGTGTTTGTCTGCCTTTTGGCGATAGATAGATAGTTACCTACTTAGTACCTAGTCTTTCTATGAGACTGTGACAGACAATTTACACGCGGGCAAAAGCAATTGAGTAAAAGAAAATTAAATACTTAGCTGCACAACTTACACATTTATTGAAATTGCCGAGAGCGAAATGCGTGGCGGCCCTGTTGGCGAACAAGCTCGGCAACTTGTCGGAGAGCCTGATGCCGTGGGTGTACGCGCTAATGGCGCCCAGAAAGTTGCCGCTGCGGAAGAACTCGTCGCCCTTCTCTTTGCACCACTGCGGGTCCTGCTCCTCGGGCCGAAGGTCTTCGGATACGAAGCCTAAAAGAGTCTTAGTTTGTAAGCCATTTGGTTCTTGTTTCTTGTTACATAATATTTATTTAAAAATAATCTAAGTACAAAATTAATAATATGTTACCTATATGTAATAGTAATACCAATTATTAAATTAATTGTATACCTATTGTGATAAATAATTAATAACTAATAATATAATTAATAATATAATTGAATTAATTAAATATTTATAAATTCTTCCCCTCTCTTAGAATGCTGTGCCCGACAGGGTCCATAATTGTATCTTATAAAACCATACATACCACCTCTGTAACATTATGGATGCAATAAAGAATTGAGTACATTTACGTGTCTTTGTTGCTAGGATCTTAAAAACTTTATTTTATACCTAAATAGTATTTCTTTTGGAATTAGGTAATACTTAAGTAAATAATTCTATTTATATTTTTGCTTTCTTACTTGCATGCTACTTCTTACTTGATGTAGCTAATTTTTGGTTTTCTATTTTAACTTTCAAGAGTTGCGAGTTGTTAAAGTTACCTACATAGTTACCTATTTGTTATTAGGTACCTTACCTGTTGCTCTTCTTGCTAATGTTATATTTTTAATCCACGCCTCCTCTTCCTGTGCTGTCGACTCCCTGCTAGGAGTAGGGAATGTTCTTGGCGTGTGAGTGACTTCCAGCTGAGCTGTTTCCCTGAGCCGCGGTAGCACCCTAACTGATGCCTCTTTCTTTTTCTTCTCAACATACTCTGATTTAACAAGAGCTTTAGGTGGAGGTCTAGGCGCTATTTTTTGTTGTTTAGCTAAGTTCGAGTCTTTCGTAATGTTCTTTTCTTTATCATCCACGTCATTGTCAGGCAATTCAACTATTTTAACCCCAGATTTAGTTTTATGATGAGTATCTAAGATTCTATAAGGTATCGGCAGTTCTTTCTGATTTGGAATACTGTCTTTATTTACATTGGTCACCCTCCAGTCTTCCAAAGCGTTCATAGCTTGCTTCCTCTGCTCGTCTCTTCTGGAATCCATCAATTTATGTTGCTTCTCATCAATTTCCATAGCCCGTTGAACAGTGAAACGATCTAACTGACTCTTTTTAATCCTCTTGTCTTCAGACTCTTGCTTAGCTTTTTCTTGGCATTCTTCCAGGATTTCTTGCTTCAGTTTCATTTTTTCTTCTTTAGTGAGCTCTTTCTCTAGGCTTTCCCATTCAACTTGCTCCCTTTTGACCAAATCAATAACGATCATATCTTCCTGAACGACACATTTACCTTTAGAGCTGTCCACGTCGTGTAATAAAAATATTTCGAAGAGAAAAGGGTTGTAGTTCGCTTTTATGTAAGAGTCAGTGGTGAAAATATCAACTTTTTCATGTTTTACCGGGCTGATTGGAATTCTTATGTTCAACGCTTGGGCTGTTTGTGTCCACGTGAAATCTTTAACAATAATTGGCATTTTTCTAGCACATTTATTTATTTAATTGCAGTCAATATCCAATGACAGCTGACAAATAATAACAAATAATAATGTTTACGAGTTGCCATGGAAAAAGTGCGCGGACGATGATGCCGCGGTCTCATTCAAAAAGTCCCGCCCAGTCCCGCCACTCTAGGCGTTCCAACACACGCTCTATACAGATTTTCATGGTTTACTATTTACGTGCTCTGTGGGTTTACTACTGCATTTCCTATAGTCTCAAATAATTTGTTTTAATTTCGTACAAAAAGTTCACAATAAAATAATTCATCTTTCGATCAGGTAACTTAGGTTTTTAATACCTAGGTTAGGTACCTTAGAGAATCTAACCAATATTCCTCTATGGTAGGTACTATACTATTTTAACAAAACAAACATTGGCCTTGTTTATTCACTCGCTAGTGTTGTATACGATGTATTTTTAACCTAAAGACCTACATGTTAAGCTTTATATTTTTAAGAACTATTAGAATCAGTGATAATCTGTGGTGATAATAATTTATCATTACCTACACTTCTTCTACACTTGTATGTGTTTAGTAGATGTGCATTGTTTACGCCACCATAGTGTATAATTTGTGATTGTGAGTGATAAAGGCCTGAGACTGAGACGTATTATCTCACCAAAACACAGTTTCTTCTGTATAACCTACATAATTCGACTGCTTTCTAGCCTTTCTAACAAGTTTAAAGTTTCACAAACTCATCATGAGTCCTAGAGTACAAACCGGTAAGTCCTACATTAATTAATACATATAATATATCCTTCTGTACTTTTAAATTATTTAAGTTTTTATTGCGTTTATTGGTGTAATTAAAGATATTAGGTAAGTAAAGAACTAGATAGGTACCTACCTATACACATCCAACCACATTCATAATTACCTACTAATTCGAAATTTTATTATAGACTAGCGCGACTTCGTACGCGTGGATCCCGTTTTACCCCCTTCATCTATCTTACGCGGTTTAGGTTTTTTCATGCAAATGTTTTTTCCCGCTAACTCCCGTTCCCGTGGGAATTTTGCAATATCCTGTTGTAACTAAGCTTTAAGTTTACTAAGGTACCTACCTGATATTTCATACAAAAGGATTTTCCCGCTAATTTCCGTTCCCGTGGGAATTCCTAAGTATACTATAACCTGCCCAGGAGTGTGAAGAATAATTGTACCAAGTTTCGTTAAAATCCGTCGAGTAGTTTTTGTTTCTATAAGGAACATACAGACAGACAGACAAAAATTTTACTGATTGCATTTTTGGCATCAGTATCGATCACTAATCACCCCCCAGTGCCGTATTATCCATAAGGCACTTTAGGCCAGTGCCTAGGGGCCCACTATGACCAGGGGCCCAGCACTCCCGATTAAAAAATGAAAAATAAAAAACATATGTTAAAGATGATGTATCAGAAAAGGTCAATTTTCAAGAAGTTTTAAAGGATTTTGTATCTAAAAAAATTAGAAGTATACCTTTGCAATGTTATGACTAAAGTCTGTTGTTGATAATGATGGTACCTTCATTCAATTTCGTAATGTAGACAGTAAAAATTTCCAAATTGCGTTGTTGTGGTATGAAAAAGGGGGGGCCCGATACGAGTTGTGCCTAGGGGCCCCGAGATGGTTAATCCGGCCCTGCCCCCTGATAGTTATTTTTAAAATATATTTAATATACACAATTGACCTCTCTACAGATTTATTATAATAAGTATAGATGTCAGGTAAAGTCTTACTTAAAATGCGATCAGAAATATTATTTTACATCAATCAGGTCACAAAATGTCTCTAGTTTCAGTTGTCTTACACTGATTCCTAGTTTATGCTATCATTAAATTCTCTCCCTTGTTTAATAAAGATCTCTTCCTAGCAATAAGACCGCCTCAATGGCGACGCTCTTTCTAACAGAACATCGCCCAGCCGCAAAATATCGTTAGGTTCTGGATTCTACCTTAGAGCATACCTACCAGGTTCTAACAACTAATGTGCAATGCCATTTTTCGTATAGTTTTAGGAGATGTCAAGCCAGAAGATCTTGGGGTAACACTCACCCATGAGCATCTGGCTATGGACTTCACCCACTTTTACCGGAAGCCTCCAAAGCACCTTGCTGACCGGTTCTATTCTGGCATTTCCCTGCCGACGGCGGGGTATCTGCGTCAGTACCCTTACAGTTCCAAATACAATCTGGAGCTCAACGACCAACGGTCTCGTGAAGCCCTTTTGAACGATGTTGCCTATTTCAAAAATTATGGAGGGGGTAAGTAGTAGACACCCACTTTTTACTTACAAGCTCCAACCCGGTCGAGTCAACTGCACACCGGGCCGCCGTGACGTCACGTCGACGCTAGTACGGACGGGGCGAACGCGGGTGAGTACGAGGGAGAGTCGCATTCCAGCTAGGTACGCAGTTAGCTCGATCGGGTTGTTATAATGTTTAATTATTTTCCTTACTTTCTCACCACCTACCTAAGTAGGGTCAAGGAGGCAACAGTGACTCGGTCGGCTACAGTGGCTCAGTCATGTTTCGACCTGAAGGCATAGGAATATATATTTGTCTCTTTTACCGATTCAAAGGTCTTGGTACCCGAACACATTTAAACCAGTTTGCTCGCCGGTCAAGTGCCGTGCGGAAGGGTGAGGGAATGTTTTTTGTTTTCGCGCCCACTAAATTACATTCTAAGGTGAGTTTCGATTGTTTTCATATCTTTGTTTGTTGCTATAGGTAATAGCCGTTATATTTATCGGATAGTAGGTCTTGTATCAATATTGTCTTTAATCCGAATTTTGACTAATTTGTTTTACATCTTGGTTTTTTGATCAAATATTTACAAAATGGCGTAGAAGTACACAGTGACTCAATTTTAATACTTTAGACGAATTCAATATTTTTATAACTTTAAATCGAATTTTTTTTTTATTTACAGAATGCCACGGAAAAAAACCGACAGAAAAATAGGGAAGAAATAAATAACGAAGAGATTGAGATGACTTAAGATCTTATAGGTAGCAATAAAAGTACTAAGAGTCGTGTTGAATTGTTGATTATAATAAGAATAGCTTGTGCAGTTTTGTTATTATTTCTAATAAAAAACTACGCGGAATGGGCATTTTCTTTTCATATAAATACTGCCGTACCACGTTAATACTGTGTACCACGGTAGTGAGTCAGTGTGTACACCTAGTAGTCCACAGTGGCTCAATTATCATTTTTTTGTTTTAGGTTCCTACTTTGACATAAGTAGTAAATAATGTAGAATCATGAGTGCTCAGTTACAGTTCAATAGTGTATCTAAAATGTGAGCAAATTTTAGGCCAATATTAAAGCGATATCTATTTTTATTAAGCTTCGAAAAAAAAGTGAGTCACTGTTGCCTCCCTGACCCTACTTCCTTAAAATTATTATTACGCATTTCGCACCATCCTATCCTCAAGGGGTATTCCATCCAACCATCTAAAGCCTGGTCCGTGAGCACGTAGAATTTTGTCCAATGACCCCTAGCTACCCACCCTTATCGCTCGCGCGTAATTACCTATGTTGCTTTCGCGCTCGCACACTCACTGCGGGTGCCAGTCGCACAGTCGCGACAGCATTAAAATTACGCGCGAGCGATAAGGATGGGTAGCTAGGGGTCATTGGACAAAATTCTACGTGCTCACGGACCAGGCTTTAAATTACCACTTGCAGGTACCATAGTCGAGAATTCTACTGAAGGTTTAGATAGAGACCTGGCGTTGTCAGTGGCAGTCTCCCATAAGACTGGCGTGCATATCGTAGCGGGGACTGGCTTCTACATCGCCGATTTGCAACCTGCCGACCACTTGCACAGCTCTACTGAGGAACTCTACAACCATATGCTGAACGAGTTGACGGCCGGTTGCGTAGAAAAACCCGATGTCAAGGCTGGGTTCATGGGCGAGATAGCCAGCGTATGGCCCTTGAGAGGTAAATCGTTATTTTTATAAGGGGACGTCTATTAATTAGGGACATGAGACGTTTAGGGGGGGAGAAGGTCAAGAAAAACCTTACTAAATAAACTGAGTTATTTTTAAATATATTACAAGCGTGGAGATTATGGCAAAACCCTCCACTATAGTGGAGGAGGCTCATAGTCCAGCAGTGGACTGTAAAGGGCTGTTGATGATGATGAATGATCCATTATTCAATTTTTTATTTTAAGCTGTCCAAAAAATAAAAAATAGAAGAAGTGTTTTTTTTTAATATTAAATCCTAATCGAAGCACAGATAACTCATTTAGGTACATTTGCTTATACGAAATCTCAGGTGAGATTGTGAGGGGGGGAGGGGGTCTGGAAAAATCTCACCAAGGAAGGGTTGGGGTGAAAAACTGCCAAAATTGTCTCACGTAATTAATGGACGCCCGCTAACTGAAGTAGTGTTGTCTGATACAATAGGTACCTAGCTACTTTTCCCGTGAATATCGTTAGAGGCAATAGGCTAGTTGCCTAAAAAAATTTTTTTAGTCCGTAATGTTTAATATCAAAAAATATTGGACACATATATTTTTATTTGTCAATCTAACAAATAATTAGGGTGACGGCACCAGTAATGGACATGGCACCAATTATGGACATTTTTTTCGTTGATCGAATTTATTAAGCAACTGTCGCAACATTTTGAACTGGCAACACTAAAATCACAATCAATAGATGTTTGGGCTATCATTTTGACACACGTCACCAAAATCGGCCACTTTGTTTTAAGATAGCTGCGAAGTGAAATCTCGTTGCGCGCGGTGGTAATGAAAATCCGTTTTTACTATTGAAATCGTTAAGGAAGTGAGTACATATTTGTGCTTGGTGCTATCTTGTGTTGTGTTATAATGAGATTTGATGTTATTTTTACTGAATAATAATAAATAGCAAGTAAATTGAGCTAAGTTAAAAATGTCTTATCACAGCCATAAGTTTTTTCTGGGGTTTGTTCATTACTGGATTCGATATTTTATGAAATTCAGTAATGGACAAGTGTCCATGCTTAAGTTTTTAATTGGTTTTTTAGTTT